GAAAGCAGTTGACATTTCTTTTATCCTTTGCCATCACTTAAAAAAGTCCTTTTTTTTACGACGCGTACGGGTCACCTACCACTGATTGTCTTCAAGTACCAAGTTAACACTAACTTTCTTTTTTTCTTATAATAATGGAAGAGTATTTAGGGACCTCTTCCTCTTCTTTCAAACGATTTTCACATATCCTCTGCTGATACTTATTGTTGGACATGTCTTCTATATAGCTTATTGTGACTTTTCTCTGCTGTGGTTAAGTGTAAAAATTTTCATATCATTGGTATAAGAGGTGTGTTTTTGAATGGTGAGCAAGACAGTAATAAATTATTTCTGCCACATTTATTATTTATAGTGCCAAAAAATGGAAAACCTGATTTTTGTACAGGTTCTTTTTCTTTTATTTAAAATTTTTTAAAATATACCGTAATATAGAACTGCGCGTATATACAGTATACATCATAACTGATGCATGCAGTGGAAATATATGTAGGAAAATATCACTTGCTGCTTTCTAAATGATTATAATTCAATTTTCTTGGAAATGGCAAACCAAGATGTCATTTTCGACCATCATGTAGAACATACCTCCAACAACTGTCTTGTTGATTCATGCTTTAAAAAAAAAACACCTGTTAATCAAGCATGCACAGAACTTTGGAAATTACGCCATCTAGCGCATTCCTATAAAAGCTACAGCGAACATTATTATTTTATATTACGGATATACAGTATTATTTAGCAGGAACTTCCTGCTAACTTCCTGAATTAATGCACATCATGTTCCAGATTGACAAATCACTTTTTCGAGAAAAAAAGGACTCGTCATTTTGATCAACTTTTAGTAACACAAAAATTTTTATAGATGCAGAAAAGTGAAATGGGTGCAATGATTCAAAATGTCTCTCAACTCCATTAATGCACGTTATTTGGTTGATGCTGTCATCAATGATGCATCATGCGGAAAGTGATCATAGTCATTTATGATGGACAAAGGATGAAAATTGGGAAAGAACGTGACACTTTAATATGCATTATCCCTTGGCCATGAAACTGCATCAAGAACCTGCATATTATACTTGGAATGTAAGTTTTGATTCATGTTATCTTTTCACTTTTTAAAATAAATTTTTTACTGCTCTGTATATAATGTGTACAGGTGGTGCCTTGCAATTTGACCCTAATCTATTGCCAGACTAAAGGGTCACATTGCAGATTGGTCAATTTGTGAGACACTTCATAAAACTGAGAAATATCAGCACAAAAATGCAAAAAAGAGCCCAAATCATGTCAAATTCCAGCAGCAGATGTCAAATTGCAAGTCAACCTGCCTGCAAATTTGACCATCAAATTTTGGAATGGTTGAATAATTGCAGGAAGTTGAATTGCAATGTACCACCTCTGTATATAGTACAGTACAGTATATAACTAATATTATTGGCTGAATTGTTCTATCCCTCTTTCATCACTCTCAGGTGGTGGCATGTTTGTTGTCATATTTGGAAGATGGATACAGGTAATAGAAAATCAGGAAAAATTATTTTATGCATCATACTGTATTTCTAATATGAAAATAGTTGAGGTTTCTGCAGGGGTCAATATCAGAGAAAAGCTTAAATCTTATGGAAACCTCATCAACTACAAATTACCTTCCTCCAATAACAAAAGCATTTAGCATTAAAAAAACATGCAGGAGCAAGTTATTTTCACATGTAATTTATTACAGTCAACCCCCGGTTAATGAACCGTCCGGTTAACGGATTTTCGGTTAACGATGAATCACCGAAAATCTAGCCTATTTTTCATGGAGTGGTCCGGTTAACGGACCGTCATTCGGTTAACGAACCGAGGTCCGTTTTTCTGACTTTAAAAAATTCCTAAAAAATCAATTGTCAATCAATTTTCAAATTTTTTGCAGCGTTGCATGCGCAAAGATGTTTTCTTCATTTCCTATTTTTTAAAAGCCAAAATATAAAAATTTGTCAGAAATACAATCAAAAATGTAAAAACATTTTTAANTTTTCAGGAAAAAAAATGCTGCGCATGCCCAGTGGATGGTGACTAACAGAAGTTCATGGTTCAATTGTGATTGAAAGAAAAAAAGAATATTATTACCTTCTCATAAATCCCTGGAGAAGGAGAAGAACCAAACGGTTTTCACATACTGTATATCCTCTGCTGATATTTATTGTTGGACATGTCTTCTATATAGCTTATTGTGACTTTTCTCTGCTTTGGTTAAGTGTAAAAATTTTCATATCATTGGTAAGAGGTGTGTTTTTGAATGGTCAGCAAGACAGTAATAATTAAATCATTTCTGCCAAATTTATTATTTGAAGTGCCAAAAACTGGAAAACCTTATTTTTGTACTGTTTCTTTTTCTTTTATTTAAAATTTTAAAATATACCGTAATAGCACTGCGTATATATACAGTATACATCATAACTGATGCATGCAGCGGAAATTTGTAGGAAAATATCACTTGCTGTTTTCTAAATGATTATAATTCAATTTTCTTGGAAATGGCAAACCAAGATGTCATTTTCGACCATCATGTCTTCAACAACTGTCTTATTGATTCCTGCTTCCAAAAAAATAACTGTTAATCAAACATGCACAGAACTTTGAAAATTACGCGATCCAGCGCATGCCTATAAAAGCTACAGCGAACATTATTATTTTGTATTACGGATATACAGTATTATCTAGCAGGAACTTCCTGCTAACTTCCTGAATTAATGCACATCATGTTCCAGATTGACGAATCACTTTTTCGAGAAAAAAAAGGACTCGTCATTTTGATCAACTTTTAGTAACACAAAAATTTTTATAGATGCAGAAAAGTGAAATGGGTGCAATGATTCAAAATGTCTCTCAACTCCATTAATACACGTTATTTGGTTGCTGCTGTCATCAATGACGCATCACGCGGAAAGTGATCATTGTCATATATGATGGACAAAGGATGAAAAGTGGGAAGGAACTTGACACTTTAATATGCATTATCCCTTGGCCATGAAACTGTATCAAGAACCTGCATATGTACTTACTTGGAATGTAAGTTTTTATTCATGTTATCTTTTCACTTTTTAATAGAAAATTGTTTACTGCTCTATATATATTGTATAAAGATGGTACCTTGCAATTTGACCCTAATCTATTGCCAGACTAAAGGGTCACATTGCAAATTGGTCACATTGTGACACACTTTATAAAACTGAGGAATATCAACACAAAAATGCAAACAAGAGCCCAAAGCAGGTCAAATTCAAGCAGCAGATGTCAAATTGCAAGTCTGCAAATTTGACCATCAAATTTTGGAATGGTTGAATAATTGCAGGAAGTTGAATTGCAATGTACCACCTCTGTATATAGTACAGTATATTACTAATTTTATGCGCTGAATCTTTCTATCCCTCTTTCATCACTCAGGTGGTGGCATGTTGTTGTCATATGGAAGATGGATACAGGTAATAGAAAATCAGGAAAAAATCTTTTCATGCATCATACTGTATTTCTAATGTGAGAATAGTTGAGATTTCTGGGGTCAATATCATAGAAAAGCTTAAATCTTATGGAAACCTCATCAACTACGAATTACCTTCATCCAATAACAAAAGCATTTAGCATTAAAAAAACATGCAGGAGCAAGTTATTTTCACATGTAATTTATTATTCTCATTTAAAGAAATATTATGCCTAGATTCTGAAAATTTCAAGCTGTTATTGCTTTTAAAGATTGAAAATGTGAAATTTCATTTTTTCAACAGTTAAGTGCTTCATATAATTCAGCAATACAGAATGGAGCATCAATGTTAAAAAATTGAAATTTCCCATCTGCAAATTCTGAAATCAATGGCAGCTTGCGCTTTTCAAAAAAATATAGTTGGTACTTTTTTAAATTTCAGGAAGCTACATCTCAATTATTCCCCTATTATTTGGATCATATCAGTGCCATGTTTTTATAAAATCACTCAGCAGGAAAAATATCCAACTTGAGATTTTTTAAAGCAACACAGAAGAAGCATACTGCATGTTGAATTTTCTAATCTATGTACAGTATTATAATTACTAATTAGCTTTATATATGGTTCTGGATGTAATCCATTTGTTCTCTTTATCATTTTTTTTAGAAAAATAATCCTGGCACATCAAAGTACTGGTATAATGACCCATGCTGAAGTAAATTCAGAATTTATATTAAAATAATATTGTATGCTGTTATTTTCACTGAAAAAAGCAGTGCTAATTATTTCAGTTCTCGCAAATGGCATCTCTCATTTTAGATACGTGGCAAATTATCTGAGCAATCACTGGGCAATTGTGCGACTTTCAATTTTCATATGATCTATTTGCAGTTGCCAGTTGGACCCGGAAATATCTAGCATATACCAGGGTTGTAAAGTTGACGTCACAATATGAGGAATGTGCCAAGTAATTCAAAGAGGAAACCGCAGTTAGATTCTCCCTCTTGGTATCAAACGTATTTTCCTCAAGTTCCCCCTTGTTTTCAGATAACATACCAATAATTTCATCTGATTGCGTTGCAGCAGCAATATATGAAACATATAGGTGTTGACTCATTTAGCATATAGCAGAAAAATCTTATGCGTCGAAAGATTTAAGAGGTAATTTAGATAGCTGATGAGAGCGAAGAACCTATTTAAGGCCCTCTTTCAAAGCAAGTTCAAGGTAGTTGCAGCAGAAGTAATGGCATATATAGCAGCCATTTTCAGGCCTAATCAGTCCTTCCTTTGAAGTTTATAATTTTCTTCCATTTTGATTCAGGGACTCTTGGGTGTGAATTTTAAAATTCAAGGTTTATTCACATTCTGTAAATTAGCAATATTCCATTCAATTCTTATTAATTTTGAATCAAGCAATGTGTTTTGATGAAAGTATTTTATGTATATTTTGTACAGAAGTATTTTTTGGAAGAAGGCATCAAATACGGTTGTACAAAAGCTAGAGGAAAATAAGTCAGAAGAATCAGTTGGAACACAATGGGTTCCACAAGCATTATTGCCCTCATCCTTGCAAGTGTGTGCCTGGGTGCAGTTTTGGCAGTGAATCCCAAAAATCCAACTGCCAATGTCAAAGGTTGTGAATTGGTTCAGTGTCCTGCCCAGAATCCGGAGTTTGCACTTCATCTGCCAAATCCATTGGAGTGCACAAGTTTCTGCCATTGTGATTGGGGAGTTGCATATTACAAAGAATGTCCTGCAAACCTTCATTTCAATGCTGAGCTGCAGGTGTGTGACTGGCCCGAAAATGCCAATTGCCATGGGAAACCCACCACTACCACCACAAAGAAGCCAACAACTACCACCACCACTACTACTACCACAAAGAAGCCAACAACTACCACTACAACTACTACTACCACAAAGAAGCCAACAACTACCACCACAACTACTACTACCACAAAGAAGCCTACAACTACAACTACCACCACCACACCAAAACCAACCACCACCAAGCCACCAGTGGGATGTGAAAAGGTGACTTCTTGTCCAGCACAGAACTCTGGCCTTGCCATCCATCTGCCAAATCCTGATGATTGTGGAAGCTTCTGCAAGTGTGACTGGGGAAAGCCAATTCATTTTGACTGTCCAAGAGGTCTGCATTTCAATGCTGACCTTCAGGTTTGTGATTGGCCAGCAAGAGCAGGATGTGATCCAACCATCACAGACCCACCAACAACCACCACTACTACAACAAAGAAGCCAACTACTACTACCACAACTACTACCACTACCACTACACCAAAACCAACTACAACAAAGCCACCAGTTGGATGTGAAAAGGTTACATCCTGTCCAGCACAAAACTCTGGACATGCCATCCATCTTCCCAATCCTGATGATTGTGGAAGCTTCTGCAAATGTGACTGGGGAAAACCAATTCACTTTGATTGTCCAAGAGGTCTGCACTTCAATGCTGACCTTCAGGTTTGTGATTGGCCAGCAAGAGCAGGATGTGATCCAACTATCACAGATCCACCTACAACCACTACAACAACCACCACTACCACCACACCAAAACCAACCACCACCAAGCCACCAGTGGGATGTGAAAAGGTGACTTCTTGTCCAGCACAGAACTCTGGCCATGCCATCCATCTGCCAAATCCTGATGATTGTGGAAGCTTCTGCAAGTGTGACTGGGGAAAGCCAATTCATTTTGACTGTCCAAGAGGTCTGCATTTCAATGCTGACCTTCAGGTGTGTGATTGGCCAGCAAGAGCAGGATGTGATCCAACCATCACAGATCCACCAACAACCACCACAACAACTACCACTACCACTACTCCAAAACCGACCACCACCAAGCCACCAGTGGGATGTGAAAAGGTGACTTCTTGTCCAGCACAGAACTCTGGCCATGCCATCCATCTGCCAAATCCTGATGATTGTGGAAGCTTCTGCAAATGTGACTGGGGAAAACCAATTCACTTTGATTGTCCAAGAGGTCTGCACTTCAATGCTGACCTTCAGGTTTGTGATTGGCCAGCAAGAGCAGGATGTGATCCAACCATCACAGATCCACCAACAACCACCACAACAACTACCACTACCACTACTCCAAAACCGACTACAACTCTACCACCAGTAGGCTGCCAAAAGGTAACATCTTGTCCTGCTGTGAATGCAGGTCATGCACTTCACTTGCCAAATCCTGATGACTGTACAAGCTTCTGTAAATGTGACTGGGGAAAGCCAATCCACTTCAACTGTCCATCAGGATTGCACTTTAATGCTGAACTGCAGGTTTGTGACTGGCCTTGGAGGGCAGGCTGTGATGGTGATGCAACAACCACTCCTGAACCAGAGCAGGTTTGCACATTAATGTTATTTTCATATTAAAGTAATAAGTGTTTGGCTTCCATGCAATAATTGTCCAACAGCAATAAATTAAGAAAATCACATCATAGATACTGCTATTATCTTGAAATAGACATTTGACTAGATTTTGATAGAATATGTTCAGGCTGAGTGTGATTGTGTTTTTTTTTAGGAGACTGAGGAGCCTGTTGTGACTGTGAACCCCAAGGAGGGCTGCACTCTGGTTTCTTGCCCAGCACAAAACCCAGAGTTTGCACTGCATCTTCCAAATCCATATGACTGCACCAGTTTCTGCCACTGTGACTGGGGAACAGCCTACTTCAAGGAGTGCCCAGCTGGTTTGCACTTCAATGCTGAGCTCCAAGTCTGTGACTGGCCAAAGAATGCTGGTTGTGGCAGCATCACCAAGCATTGATAACATCCATCTTTTCACTTTCACATACATTGAATTATTGCATTTGTGATTTCATCTGAATGGGACCTAGCTGAAGGCCATGAAATACATTGCATTCACAGAAACCATCCAGCATTTATTCTAGATTGTTATTGTCAAAATGGTGATCCACAATTAAAGGCTTTTGTATCTAACCCCAATGATGAAGCAGCATATTTATATTAACATCAGTTCAGTCTACATACCCTTATGCATTCTACTTATGAATCTGCATGTAAGATTCCCTGGCACTTTTTTCCTCAATAAATAAAAATATTTTACTTTGAAATCCTTCATATCAAGGACCTGCAAATAATTTTTTTTATTGTAATGAATTTTATTTTTATTGCATGTTTTATCATCTATATACTTAACACATTATAAACGAAAGCAAAAAGAATTGTATTCACTATATACAGTATGTGTAAAAATTGTACTGTACTTATGAATTCACAATTGTGATTTAATTTGAACTGATGAATATTTCTTCAGACATAAACTGTTCACTTGAAAACTTATGGAGCCATTTCTAAAATATAAACTATATTAAGGAATTCTGAGAAGAAAATCATGTTGCATTATGCATATTTTCTGAAACACAATATTTTCTTTACAAAAAGCTTTGAGCTTCTTTGCTTTTGATTAACTTCTCATACAGCGCAGCGCATGCTAGTTTTTTCATTGTCTTCTGTCAATCAAGAATTTTTATGGCCAATTTATGTGCAGCTGTTCAAAGAAAAAAAAATGTAGCACATTACTGCATATATTGTACATCACAAATTACAAAGGTGAATGAAAGTTTGTTGAAACAGAATATTTTTCAATGTTTTTCCTATGTATCATGTCTGCTATGGGCTAATGGACCCTCGCTTCAAAGAATGTTTTTTTTTATTTAAAAAAGTATATGAATATTTCTTATCACAAAGTTGTCCCGCATTTCAATTAAAGTAGAATCTTGTTTAAAAAAAGTCTTGCTTACAAGGAATCATTTTTTTGTCTCTGTATGTCCTGCAATAGTCACAGCATTATTTGAATTTTGTTCAACAAATTCTTGTTTACAACAACGCTTTTTAAGGTCCCAAATTGTTTTGTTGTAACAATAAAATTCTGCTGTACTGCATTTGGAAATTGTTTGAATTTTCTAAATAGAAGATTGACCATGCTTGGTAAAAAAAATTTATCTGTGCCTTTAATTTCATCAGTGAGAATGTTCTTATAAAATTATATTTCAAGTGGTGCTGCTTAGGCTATTTATTTTTATCACAAATCCCTGAGCATTTGATACACAGTATGATGAAGTAATTATGATAACATTTTGTAAAGGTATCAAAAATTGTTTAATAAACTCCATACAGAATTGTTAAGCTTATAATATAGTGGTTATATTTCGGAATTACCAAATTTTAATATAACTGAAAAAATTTGTTACAAAACATATTTCAAATAATAAATTCATCGTTTTGAAGAATAATCTTGACGAAAATTGAATCTTACTATATAATTTTCAAGTCAAGCCCAACGCGGTTCATTGCGACGGAATTCTACATAACTGCATTACGTTATCATCGTTTACAACATTAAAATCATTCATCATCGTCGCTTTTCTGAAAATTTCGTCGTGCAAATATAAGAATGGCGAACTAATAAAATACAGTACATTATACCGTAGTACAGTACAGTATACCCTCCCTAGATATAGTTCCAACATCCGACATCTGTCCGTTGAATGTACAAATTCAACTGATTTGGTGTATCTAGGGAGCGCGAAACGGAACGCGGAATGAACCTGGCCCGTAGTTCTTACTGGTCTACCTGTAGTCTGTATTACAGTCGACGTGAAGTGACGGTCGGATGCTTGCGGAGTGGTGTACGTTGTTGCATGATTTTCGCGTAGATTTCCCGCCTCAGATCGAAATTTCCGCGCTGCCCGTCATTTTTGGCTGCAGTACCTACCTGTAAATATATTCTTGCGGTCCGCTGTACAGTTCTGTAAGCTGAGTAAAGCGTATGCCCCTTTTTTCGGCAATATTTTAAAAATTGATCAGACAGACGTGATTACGTTACAGTATTCATCAGTGCCCACTATCCTGGAGCTTTTTCGCGGGCGCGTGTTCCATTTTTAGTTTATTATTCGCCCGAGATCCCGCTGAAATCGTTCAGCGAGGCGGAGCCCTGAACCATGAAGTTCGCCGAGCATCTCTCAGCGCACATCACGCCAGAATGGAGAAAGCAATATATTCTTTACGAGGTGCGATCAGATTTCATTTTTCTTCATGCATTGCGTCCAAAATGATTTTTTCGATTTTAGGAAATGAAGGGGCTACTGTACGCAGCTATGGAGGGAGCCCCGTCTTCTGAGATTGTGACTGAAGGCGAGATTAAGAGCTATTTCGCAAAAATGGACGAACAATTTTTCCATCAAGCTGAAAAGGAGTTGTTTAAAATCAACACGTTTTTCTCCGGTAAATTCATTTGTATACCGAGTGGTACAGCGTCAGCATTGTATTAATCTTCATTCCGTCTTGCAGAAAAATTGGCTGAAGCGAATCGACGCTTCGCGGGTCTGAAAAGTGACCTGGCATCAGCTCATCAAGAGCCTGGAAGCAATGATGGACGGGGTGGATTCGTCGGATTATTCTCTCGCTCAGGAACAAGAAAGAAGGACAGCGAACTGAAGCTTGCGTTCTCTGAATTCTATTTGTCATTAATCTTGCTGCAGAACTATCAGAATCTCAATTTTACTGGCTTCCGGAAAATTTTGAAGAAGCATGACAAGCTTTTCTGCTCGGACAGTGGAGCCCGATGGCGCGTTGAAAACGTCGAGTCTTCTCATTTTTCTATCAACAAAGATATCAACAAGCTTATCCAAGAAACGGAGAATCTTGTCACGCATGAGCTTGAAGGAGGAAATCGAGGACGAGCCATGAAAAGACTGCGTGTACCCCCGTTGGGCGATCAGCATTCTCCGTGGACTACTTTCAAAGTTGGATTGTTCCTCGGTGCCTTCCTGGTCTTACTTTTCGTCGTGGCGTTATCAGCAGCCTTTAGAGACACTGGAATCGACTGGAGGGTTGGAATTCGTTTATATCGGGGGCAATTCCTGGTGTTTCTCATGGTTTTCCTGGTCGGCGTGAACGTTTATGGCTGGCGCACATCAGGTAATGATAATTCTCCACTCATTGACGAAACAGTATCCAGTTCAAAATTAAATCTTAAGTACAATCTTGAGAACTTGTCATTTTGACCGAACCCGGAGGCTGAGTTGCCGGCAAAGGCAAGACATAATTGTCTTGCCTTATATAATATAGCTTTATGCGAATTTTAATAACCTTACACAAACTGAAGCTTACCAAACGTTTCACGTGATTCGCCTCGAACTTTAATCGATTAACCGAACCATAAACGACGTACCGAAATATAATCTAGTACTGTATACGTGCAGGATCAGAGGTGGAATACTGAATTGGACGTTTTATCGTAAGCCCAATCTGTTATTGTATCGAGTTTACACCCACGATTCTTTGGAATAATTCATTTTAATTTTTTTTTTACCCGATTTCCAGGCGTGAACCATGTACTTATTTTCGAGCTCGACCCCAGAAACCATATCAGCGAACAGCACTTGATGGAACTTGCAGCTGTGTTCGGCGTCATGTGGTGTGTGAGCGTCTTGGGCTTCTTGTATTCTGATGCATTAGGAATGCCGATGTTTTCCCATCCTGTGATTCTCGCGGGAGCGATGGTGGCATTTCTCATCAACCCATTCCGTGTTATGTTGTACGACGCCCGGATTTGGTTCTTGCGGATATTGGTGAGTTCGTTACATTGTTTTGTGCAGGACCTTTCGATATTAACCCGGGAAGGACCAAATTTTATGGCTGCAAACGCGTTTTAACTGATGTACAGCTTTTTTCATTAATGCGCTCGGTTTTGGGTAACTTAGGGAAGGGTCGTGTGTGCACCGCTGTTCTTCGTGAACTTCGCTGATTTCTGGCTGGGTGATCAGTTGAACAGCCTAGTGCCGGCTATTACTGACTTCGAGTACTTCATTTGCTTTTATGCAAGTAACGGCGGAAATTGGTCGAAGGTGGCTGGAGGTATTCAAGCGGAACTGCGTTCTCCAAGTCCTAAAATGAATAATGATGTTTATCGATGAACAGGAGCCGGTCGTTGCGTGAACAAAAACTATTTAATTCGTCCTGTTGTTGGATGTCTTCCGGCCTGGTTTCGTTTTGCGCAATGTTTGAGACGATATCGGGATACGAGAGAGGCTTTTCCGCATTTGGTGAACGCGGGAAAATACTCAACAACTTTTTTCGTCATCCTGCTTTCAACGCTCAATTCTGAGAACAAAGGTAAAAGACTTCGTATGACTTAATTCTGTTGAATTCAATTTCAAGTTGTCATGAATAAATTGCATTGAACCTTTTTTTAGATGAATTTTCGTCGGCCGACAAAAATCCATACTTCTACTTATGGATTCTCGCATCCATCGTGAGCTCATGTTATGCGTATACTTGGGACGTTCGGATGGATTGGGGTCTTCTTGAATCATCCTCGGGAGATAATAAGTTTCTGCGCGAAGAAATCGTTTATCCCCATCGAGTAAGTGCTAAAAGTGAATCCCTTATCATTCTCCTTTTTCTGACGAACCGTGTATTGTATTCAGGGTCATTACTACTTGGCTATCGTGACGGATTTTCTGTTGAGATTCGGTTGGGCCATTTCGTTATCGTTAATTGAGATGGGATACGTTCATGGCGACCTGATGGTGACAGTGTTGGCTCCAATGGAAGTTATAAGGTACCGTAATCATTTGAAATACATAAAACTATGTACTATGTATTGTATACTGTATATTGGGATCACGGAACTTCTGGCTATTTGGGAGTTGTTAAATGGTTTTGCCGATGTATCTCAATGCATTCAGCCTGGTTTTTCGGGTTTAGGTGAAACATTTCCCTTCAGCCGAACCAACTTGATGTTGTTCAGTGAACGTTTCTACCATGTAAATTCTTCCATCAAAGCAGGGCTAACATTTGATCTCTTGTCGAGAAGCCATCTGGTTTTTCTGGTACCCGAGCTTTTGTGTGAGAATTCTTCAGACCAAACAAATCTGAGATCAAAACCTAGACTTCAAATAGTTGAAGCAATCCTTCTCTTTGTTTGTTGAGGATTGTAATAAATTGCAGGTTGCAGACCTGCTTTTTGCAACTTACTGCTCACCAAACGATATTTAATGCCACTTGAAATTCAGTTTCTTGAACGTGAAAATATTGTATACTCTGTCATTTATATGTGATCAGAACTCCCCTTTTTTACTGTCAGGTAGGTGTGCTCTTGAGTTCTGAATTAATATCCCCAAGTTATAAATATATTTTTTAATTGCTTGAAGTACTGTTTTTGGTATAACATGTACTTTCAATTCTTGAAAACGTGTGCGGTATAATATGTGTTCTTCTTTAAAATAAAATGCACTTTCAACTCATTTGTTCTCTCCATTTTAACCGGGATGGCAAAAAATTCAGCAAAAGTCGGGAGAGATTAGAATTTGTTTCTTGTAAATTCGCAGAATAAAATTTTCCGGACTACATGCATTGTTAGACGGGCAACACTTTTTAAGCTAGCTCTCGTTTTTTTCATTCTTGCGGACCTAAATCGTCTCTTGCTTTTGTGTAATATGCAGTATTTGTAAAGTGCGGAGTTGTGCTTGCCATTTCTTGATACCTGCGGTAGACGAATTCTTTCGTTGATACACCTTACTCCATCACCACGCGAAGTGAAAATCTTTGCTTAGCTACAATATCACGTCGTTTTTTCACGTCAGCTTCCGTTTTGTTCCGTTGCGTCTTTTCGTATCTTCGTCACGTTTAATTTTACCCCACTGCGTTTTCTCGCTTCTATTTTTTTCTACGTTTGTTCCTCTTTTCTCTCGCTGTTGTGGTATTTCGAATGGCTTCTTTCTTTCGGTGTTTCTTGGTTGCGCATTCGCTTTTTGTCTATCCTATGCTGACTGGGATAGGCGATTCGTGTGGAATTTCTTCCGAGTGGAAAACGAAATGTTGAACAACTGTGGCGACTTCCGTCGGAAGAAGGACGTGATGTTCTACGAAACTTTGGAGGGCTCATCATCTCACGAATGTGAATGCGACGAGCTTGCCAGTAGCCTTTCAGCGGCATCCGACGAATCATGAAAAAAAATTATTTGAGCTCCGACGGTTGATTGTGTTCGCTTTTTATTGACGGGTTCTCGGATGACGTAACTTGCGCTGTGATACGTACCTGTAGAATCTTGCCATAATGATCTGTGTTGAGCCAGAGAAGAATGAGTCGGTCTCGTCGTCAGGCGGTTTGTGTGGAACTTCTTCCGACTGGAGAACGAACACTTGAACAATTGTGGGCAGTTCAGAGCTGTGCGAGACATCGGTATCAAGCCAATGAACGACTCGGATCAGGCCTTGATGGTCCGGATGATGGACGATCCCGAGAGTGTGATTCATGTGCGACATCGGAGAGCCGCTGCAGCAGCTGCTGCTGCCCGAAGCAAGGGCAAAGGAGTCGGTCGGGATGGCGTCAAGTTGCCCTTGTTGGGTGTGGGTGGAGCTGAAGGGAACGAATCCGATCCCTATGCCACTGTTTCGTCCATGAGCAGTGTTAGGCAATGGCTCATGTCCATCGGCGGCAATGCGAAGCCGTCGACAGCTTAATCTCACTAAGCAACTTTTTGAACAATTTGAAGTCTCGATTTTGTGTGTGTGTGAGATTTTGGAACTATTCTGGAGTACTCCCTGGTGAAGGTGTCAGCTAATATGAACAGATGAATTGAAGATCCTGTGATCTGAAAAATTTTTCTCCGAGCTATAAACTTTTCACTTGTTTATCACTGAGTACCAATACTTTCCTCTCACACTTTGTCTGGAAGATCAATAATGCAAATTATTAATGGCATTTATTGTTGATCGACTAACGTGCAGCTATTTTTTGAAATACTGCATTCCGTGTTCTGTTGTTTACCGTAATTACTCTAGAACGATGCGCACCCTTTTTTTTTTAGAATTGAGAGAGGGAGAAAGGAGGGTTTGCGTTATAGGCAGGCAAACAATTTTGAAAAATTCTTTATAAGGTGCGCATCATGACTTATTCTAATGGGACATTCTGGATCAAAATTATAATACATTAAATATTTTTTAAATGAAACAAATTATTGAAATCAAGTTCAATTCATGTCCAAATTCAAATTCCGGAGTATTTAATCTTTCAAATGCCACAGTTTTTCAGTCACCAAATGTTGAATGCACAGGATTACCATTATCTGTCTTTTTTATGGTATGCTTTGATGTCCGGAGTTTTATGGTCTTACTTTCTGATGTGTGACACAAGTTTCGCTCAAATTTTATCCAGATCTGTTCAGGTTGAGTTTGTTCATGGTGATCGAGGGTTTGTTCAGGTGGTACAACAGAAAAGTTCCGAGGTTGCTTTAAATCTTCTGTCTTCGAATTTGCGCCCCTTTTGCGATCAATTGGAAACTATGTGTATTCAATATCTGTTACCTTTTTGAGTTTTCAGACTATTGGCTGTATGTGTTGAGCAAAACGTTGGCATTTCTCTTGGAAAGTTTTGGATGTTTGAAAGGATTATGTTTTTAAGAGCTGTTTATTGCTGTGCAATTCTTTATGTCAAATTTTTGTTTTGTTGGGCATCGGATTTTTTCGAGGAAATATTACGATGAATCTAGTCTTCAGGCATTGAGACTCTTTATTACAATAGTTTCATCGGTACTCCCTTCTTCTCGCTTTTCCCTTTTTCTACGAAGGAAAAGATCATTTTCTTCTGCATTGGAAACTGTGCGGGAAATTCCGGCAGCGTGTAAATGATCAACTATATCAAAGTGATTGTGAGAAACTTTTTGAAAAATGTGCTGAGTGAAGCGTCGATGAATCGGGAAAAATCTGATTATGATTATTTTTTGCGGATCAAGAGAATCGGGATGATGAGCTGATGGGTGATGGGTAATTTATTTGAAAATGCAATTTTTTTTTCAGTTTGCTTGTTAATGCACGGAAATGATTTGTTATCCTGATACGTTTCATTCTGAATTTTTAAAGCATGAAGTGTTTGGGATCACCGTCTGTTTCAATGCGTTTTCTTTGGTTACATGGTGTGATTTACTAAAACTTTCGCAGAATTTTTGGGACATTGAGTGAACTTCAACTTCCGGTTCCTGTTACTTTCCTTTTGGTGGGAGCGAAGAATTTCAATTGAGATACGTTGATTTAAAACACTTCATGCTTGTTCATGTTTGCAGAGTTGACCAGAAAATTTTGACCGATCTTCAAGCAGTCTTATCTTTTGAACTTTTCAAACATCGGAAAACTCATCTTAAGTAGTGGTTGCTGTGTCCGATGTTCTGCAGTTCAATATTGTTGAATATTGGTACATAATTCCCTGGTCCACGCTGTAAAAATATATTTTGCACATGTTTCGTTGATGAATGTACAGTAAGTTTGGGTTGAAAACTCTTAGAATCTCACTCCTGTGCCATGATCGCGAAGTGTAAATGGTTCTGCGGGTTTCTTGCGCTTGTCATGCTCTTGGTGTGTTTCCCTTCCGTTTTGAGAACTTTCCAAGTTCCCGAGAACTCTTCCTCGATTTCAATTGTGAAAGACACGAACGACAATGTTGATCAGTTCGACTGTGATCCATCGATAATTCGCGAAAGTCTCGTGAAATTGCGCGGGAATTTTTCATTGAGCACTGGATTTCGCAAAGCCGAGAAGAAATTCCGATGCGTGGAAAGCGTGACATTTTGCACGCATGGGGATGCGTCTTACCTAGAAAATTTAGCAGTGCTAGTGATGCGATGGCGTGGACCTGTATCATTGTCCGTGTTCGCATCGCAGCCATTCCTGAAGAAAACTGTCAGTGCAATCGATTGGTGGAGGAATTGTGCGGCAACGGAGGAAATCAGAAACGAAATCAGAGCGAATGTTACATTCCATCTCATCACGAATGCGTCTCTCGATGAGCTTCGTAGTGCTATTGAGGAAAAAGCAATCAATGATTGTTTAATCAATTCGGAGGCTGTTGCCGTCAAGAAAGACGAAACTGTTACTTTTTATCCGATCAATATCGCGCGAAACGTCGCCACGGAAGAAGCGACGACCAAGTACATTCTAAATGCCGACATCGAACTTTTTCCGAGCGTTGGATTCATCAGGCAGTTCCTGAACCTCATCAGCCATAGACGGAATAGGAGACACGAAGTTTTTGTGCTTCCGATTTTCGAGGTGGCTGCGAGTGTTCCTGCACCGTCGGTGAAGAAGGAGCTGATCGATCTCTACTTGAGGAGAAAGGCTGTGAGCTTTCATAAATTCATTTGTGAGTGGTGTCATCGCATTCCGGAACTAGATGTGTGGATGTTGGTGAGCGGTGCATCCGCTGTAATGGAAGTGTTTTCCGTGGTCAAAAGACGTGGTTCGCAGAGGTTCTGGGAACCGATTTACGTGGCGACCCGGCGTGAACCTGTTTACGATGAGAGATTAGGATGGAGTGGCGGCAGTGATAAAATGATGCAGGTAAATTGTTCTTGAATTCTATTCCACCTTATGTCGAATGAGAGATGGTTTCTTCAACGAAAAAATGCGTTCCAAGCATGAACTTGGTAATGATGACACTGAGAGACTGGCATCTCACTGACCAATGTAGAACCTACTAAAAAATACAGTACAGTGGTTGTCGCGTATTTTCTTAGAGCTATTCTTATAATTTTGAGTAGTTTGTGCAAATCATGCTTTGGCACTGATTCTTTCGCTCTCTTCGATTATTTAAGGCGATATTCATCTTTTAAATAGTTTACAATTTTGAAAACCCCTGTTAACTAGCATTTTGTGTGTGAATTTAAGACGGACCCGGAACCTTCTGAGGCAGAATCAGAAAGGAAATAAGTCTCACAATTGTCTAAGCACGTAAGCTATCGGAGCGTAATCATGAAAAATTCGAACATTGAATTGACTTCTATGTCGTGGAAGAAAATAAATCGGACTGAACTCAAATTATTTCCAGATGTTCGAGTTGTGCGCCGAAGACTACAACTTCAACATACTCAGCAACGCCTTCCTGGTCCATAAACCCGGAATCAAGCGTCGGATGCCGGACAAGCGGATTGCTGGTGCTAGTGACAACAATTCCATCCTTGTGAAAGCCCTCATCAGAGAGGAACTACTTAGAAAATACGGAAACGATACGGGATGTGAAATCGTCGTTTGATGTTAATTTTTTTTTCTTTCTGGATTGATGATGTGATAGGTTTTGTGGTGAGGTGGAAGACTTGCGATTGAAAGTAATCAAATATAATCCATCGCCTTTTTTTGGCGGTTGTTGGTACGGTATTTGCATTCGAGTCAGTGCAACGCTTAAGTAAGCGACTTGTGATGCTTTCCTGCTACATTGCATGCATGCGTAAAATCATCTTGCCCATGACGAAATGGTCTTCGTGAAGCGAGAAAAATTCCTTCCTTTAGATGTTTTTTTTTTTTAATTTTTGAAGAAACGCGTTTTTTTCTGAATGGGAAGTGAAGCATATGCTAGCTAAATAACCTCGTCGACTGTGATCTCATCTTAGATCTGAATTACTAACGTCGTTTCGATTCTGCAATCGTCCGAGGCATTCTCATCGGAATTTCCATTGTGTTCTGCTTGGTCATGCAGCTTGAGCAAGGTAAAGGAATGTCAATAAACGTTCCGGAAGATTTATCGCAGCTCGCATAAAATGGCTTTCATTTTCAAGAAAAAAGCGGGGATTCAATCTAGCAGTTATTTCCGTGTGTTTAGTTGCAGGAACGTGTTGAAGGAGAACTGCGATATTTGTGCCATGGCTCACGTGTCGAAGTGGCATAAAAAATTCGAATACGAGGATCTCAAGAAGCTTTTGAAGCCAGGTGATCTGGTGGAGTTCCATCGTGGGACGTACAAGCATTGGGCAGTATTCGTGGGTTCCATGCGAGATTTTTGCGGCTTTTTCCCCGCCGGGTTCCAGTGCGAATTTTGTCGATGTTGTGCTCGTAGGTGTCAGTGTTCGAAGCTTTATTTAGTTCATCGCGCGAACGCGGGTGAAACCAACGCTCTCAATTTTTTCGCGAGAAGTGAAAGCTACAACAAAGGCATAAGGGGCGTTGGTAATGTAATTTTGGAGGTGATCGACGATGTCTGTGATGGTTGCGAAGTGAGAAAGAATAACTTCGATGATGCTAAGCTTCCCAAAGGATTCTGCACTGTGATGGTATTGAAAAGAGCGTTCAAGCAATTCAGCAAACACGCTACAGGTGAAAACTTGGGTAGTTCGCTTCTTCAGGGTGTTTAAAAGTTAATCTGCAGTGCCGAAAAACGCTTTTATTTTTTCAAATTTTGTAACGCACGCTGAAGTCCATCCGAATAGCCTTGAATATCTTGTCATCGATAACTTTGCTGCGTTCCCTTTCACCTAGCAGACGACGCTCCGAATAAAGTCACGTCGTCTGGCTCACGGTTCCGCCGCATGATCTCCCGCGAGTCACATGCCACAAGGTTACGCAACCTCACCTAGAATGAGGTCAGATCCGGGTCTGACCATTCTTGCCCAACTTCACCTGACCGAATCTATATAGTTGCCTGTTCTCTGTTGATCGCGCGCTCATTGCTGTCCGAAGCTTGTTAGAGTATAGTATCTGCTGTTGAACACAAAATAAAGCTCACTCACCTGTTTGATAAAAGAGGAGTTGAATTTACTTTGCCCGGTAACAAGGATCAAGAAATCTCCTCTCAAGAAATTGTTGAAGTTAGTTTAAACACAACTTGCGACGGTAAGTTATACAATTGGAGAATCTAGAGACGTCTGGATTTAAAAGATTGTAGAAGATCTAAATAAACTAATTTACGACAACAATCTTGAGAACGTTTGCAAGAAAGATTCGATAAAATTAGTCCGCATTATTTTGTAAAAAAAAATTACGCTTAATTCCATGAACCCTTGTACAGTATGTCGTCGAAATACATTACTCCAGCAAACGCAGGAGGAACGTAGAAAACAGAAGGAACTTCGGTTGATTTTGTTTTGAAATTAATGAAATACACTACAGTATTGTTTTGACTACCAGTGACATCTACCGAGTTGAAAATATGGATTCGTTGCTATCAACGAATTTTGTAAATTTATGCTGTTTAACATCAAATTTTTCATGTATGACACTTCGAGTCTTCAAAATCAGGATGTCGTAATTTTTGTGGTCAACCGAGGGTCTGACGAATCCTGTTCTTTGCAGGTGATGTCGAGAACGACGAATACAACCTCGTAGTGAACAATTGCGAGCATTTTGCGTCGTGGTGTCGTTACGGAGCCAAGTCAAGTTCTCAGATAAAGAATGGTGCCCTAACCTTGGGTGTCACTACCGTTCTTGCTGCAGCTGTCTCTGCGTATGCCCTGACGCCCCGGAAGAATGCAAAAAAGGCGCCGGAAGAAAATGTTTCAGCGTACTCTAATTCACCGTTCCCAAAGCTAGCTTTTGGCGTGTCCTAATATTTCTACTGGTGGGACTTGCGTATTACATTTTTTTTTCTTTTCAATAGCCTCTGTCGACCCAAATATTTTCCCACTTGCTTCTAATTGTCACTGTATTTTTTTTATCAGCGAAGAATAACGTTGAAAATTTTCGAAAGATGATCTCCCCGTAGTCGGCAAAATTTATTACTTTTTAATGCCTTGGATTCGTAAGGTATCATGTGTGAAACTTTGGATATCACTGATGCATTAAGTCTGCCGGGGTTCGAATTTTTGTACGGTATTTTTAAGGATATTGCGCGGCAAAAGAAAATTTATTTATCAGCCTATTCCAGTTTAATATTACTGTGTTTCGTTTTCAAGATGTCCCGAACGCAGATTTTTGAGCGGACGACTTTTTCGCTTTTTTCCGACACATAGCTTTGCTTGAAGCCTTGAACAATAATTTTTTACTTGATACGTATTTTCTATATTCTTACGCATTTTTTTTTTTTGCTTTTTGTCAAGTACAATTCAAATGATCTCTTTCAAAGATGGGAATTTTTTCGTGTTCAAACTTGAAGGAAGGTTTTTATTTTCGTTTCTTGTCCGGTTGACAACATTTTTAACTTTCGACTTCGACTTGAAACTGTAGATAATGCCGTAATACTACGAAGCTGTGAAGACGTGAATCCGCGGGAATTCGATTTTTATTTTTATTTACAAGTATTTTTTGCGTGACAAATGACGTGATCCTTTGAGGTATGACTTTCTTTTAGTCGAAAAGAGTTCGATTCTGACCTCTCTTCAGTCATTGAGAAACATTTCAATTGGAACACGGGATTCGGAAAGAAGTCCTGTATGTGCAAAGCCGTGACCATGAGTGCTTTCAAATTCCGCGAGGTCTTCCTTTTTTTCTACTCACTGTATTGGATTAATTTGGTGTCTTCCTCAATGTGGAATTTCGAGAAGAGACTCTTTCTACTGTTGTATGTGTGGTGTGTGAAGAATGATCATTAGGACTGCTTTTGCTTCATCAGCATTGGCAAAACTATTTTGTCCTTATCGGTTGTCGGAATTTATCGACAGATCGAGGCTTGTGAGTTATTGCGTCGGACGCTGTGTCGGAAACTGTGGTAGAAAAATCTTGTGAATGTAGTGGAATCCGTTGGTGGCGATGCCGGAAAGCGGTTCACCAGTTCAAGAGGGTGCCGAAAATGCTGGAGAAACTGGTCTTCGTCGTGCGGGTCCACGATTATTCAAAGTCGTCGTGATTGGTGATTCCGGAGTAGGGAAAACTTGCCTCACATACCGGTTCTGCAATGGAAGGTTTCCGTCCAAGTCGGAAGCTACGATCGGAGTCGATTTCCGGGAAAAAATCTGCCTTGTTGGGGATGAGTCCATAAAGGTACTGTTTTCTGGCTCAGTTTTTACGCAAGCCCTATAATTCTCAGAAAAATTTAGAGTGCATCACTTCTACTCGAATAGGATGTGGATTTTATTCGAAAGCAAGATGTAATTATTTGAGATACATGCTTGTGTTGTTGACGATATAGTAGTACATAATTTATCGTCTCGAGGAAAGGTTTTTTTAGTTCTGTCGGATGTGTTCAATCGCCTGCAAAAAAAATCTTTGTAGATCGGTATAAATCTGCCGTTGTATTTCTGAGGGTGTCATAAATCGTTATGAAGATGGTATAGTATTTTATTTACAGCTCCAACTGTGGGACACAGCCGGTCAGGAAAGGTTTCGAAAGTCGATGGTGTCGCATTTCTATCGAAATGCGCACGCTGTGGTTTTTGTCTACGACATCACAAGAAAGAGCTCATTTGAGGTGATGCAAATATTTCGTATCCCTTGGTCAGTTATGTTTTACTGACCTTTTCGTTGTTTCATCAGTCGCTTCCCACGTGGATTCAGGAATGCAATAAGCACCAGTTGACCTACGCTATGCCGCGAATCTTGGTTGGAAACAAGTGCGATATGAATGATCATCGTGCCGTGGAGACGGCAAGAGCTCAAAAATTCGCAGACCTTCACAATATGCCGGTATGCCTTGTTACGGTTGTATTTTTTTCTTCAAAGCTTGAGCTTAGCTTTTCTGGTAGATCCAATATGATCATGAACGAGTTCAAAAACCGAGTCAATCTTTCTGACATGGTTGAAAAATGGTCCTCGAATGATTTTTTGACCACTGTTCAATCGTTGCCTATTCGGATTTAAATAGAGAGAAGAAAGAATTGAAAATTATTCGGCCACCTTGGCGTGGAACAAAGTTTCACGCATCGCCCTCGATTTTTTTTTTTTGATTAGCAGTTGATGAGAATTACGAAGTTGAATGTTACCAGCGTTTAAAAAATCGTTGCAAGTTTGGTGTATGTGAAGTTGAATTTTTGCTCAAGAAGTTGCAAATTCAAGGGATGCAGTTGAAAAGAATCTTTTGAGAATTAAGCAAAGGCTTGTTTCTAGTCTCTGTATTTTCAACGAATAGGTTTCGTTTATCTTTACACCAATAATTGGGCACTCGAGAAACTTTTGGACAGCTCTGCTTTTTTATCATCGTTTTTATAGGTTGAAACGAATTACAGTACTGTATTTTCAATCACTTGATCGGACGCCAAAGGAAAGTTGACGAATTGCGTGATATGACGCGTTTTACTGAATCCAAAATGCTTTGTTTTAAATATGTGGAGCGACTGAAAATACAGTACTGTACTTATCGTTTTTTTTTTTTTTTCAACTGAGAATAGATGTTTTTTTTTTTGCCTTAGTTGTTCGAGACCTCAGCAAAGGATAACCTCGACGATCACATCGAGAGCATATTCATGACGCTGGTGCACAAGTTGAAGAGCTCTCGCCCCATGATGCCAGAGTATAACATGCGGATCAATTTGGACTCCTTGGCAGGTGCTTCGGAAGATTCTCGAGTGTCCGCTGAGTTCGTCAAAAATGCGTGTTTGTGTTGAGTGCTGTGACGAGGAGTCACCAGTTGGACCTCCGAAAACGTCGCTTCCGTGGTGACTTTTTTTCTCTTCCAAAAGTGATACAACAACCGGGATTCCAACTTCAAAATGTGGTTGACCATTTGTAATTGGAATGCTTCCAGAATGTGTGAAAGATTTGTTGAGAATTGCGTCATGGGATAACCAAATCGCAAATTTTTGATCGGTGTTATGCTCGAGGGGAGTGCTCAGGTTTATGGGGAACAGTGCACGTGAATTCTAGGTCTTTTGAGTGTGTATTCATTCGTTTTTCACGGAAGAGCTTATAAAGTCATTCGGATTTATGAATTTTAGCCTGATCTTATCTTTTGTCGTGATGGGAAAATTTTGAAACTTGGCAACTCGGAAATATATGGATTCCTTCTGACGGTATTCAATATTGTGTTCTCGAAGAAGGTCCTAAAGTTTTTTTTGTGTATTCTTCATAGCCCTTCTTGATATAAACTCTGTCACACATTCAATCTTAATTTGAATTTACTGATATGTTTTTCAAATAAAGTAATGGCCTGTACTATTATTTTTCCGAAATGAGTAAAAAATGAAATATTCTTGCTATCGAATGCGATTTCCGATGTTTTTAATTATATTTTTTCAGAAGATGATGTGGCTGTGTTCGAAAAAATATACATTGATTCAAATATGCGAGCATAAGAAACTTCCCTGAAAATTCAAGCAACTGCTTTTTTGTGGAAACAACAGGTGAAAACGTCCTTTTTAATCTCCCAAATATTCTTGGTGTTCCATCTTTTTTCAGAACAGGGTAAAGCTTCGAAAAACAAGATTTTGACGATAATGAGCGACGGACGGTCATCGGAAGAAGTGGAAAAGTTAGCAAGAATTTTGCGCGTCGAAGATCAAAAGAGACTGCGCAAGTGTGAGGCTACCGCATCGAATTTTCGCGTCAATGGAAACAAAGCTTATGGCGAGAAGGACTTTCTCCTTGCCCTCGATTTTTATGCAAAAGCATTGTGCTTCTCTGTTGATTTTGAGAAATCAGCAATGATCTACGGGAACAGATCTGCGGTTTTCTTCGAAATGTGTGATTATGAGGTGCGTTTGATCAGTTTCTTTATGAACGAAAGAGGAAATGGAAGTACTGTATTGCATTACAACTTGTATTATTTGTAGAGTGCGTTATTGGACATCTCTCGAGCTCTCAAGAAAGGCTGCAGTGAGGAATTGTCATTGAAGTTGAAAATTCGGCGTTGGAAATGTTTCAAGCTTTTGGGGAAGTCCGTGGATGACGAAGAAATGTTGTCCGTAATTAATGATTCAACAGTGAGTGAATCTTCACGTGAGCATATTTATAATTTTTTGTTCATATTTTAGTCATTTTCAGAGCGTGACTGAAGTACTACAGTATATCGTGTTTCGCCGAGAAAAAAGACAGAACTCATTTTAATATATTTTACTGTTACTTCGGCTCATTTTCATCGAGTTTTGCGTTTTTTTTTTCTCTATGCGAGTATACGGGACAGAACATTAGGGTCTGATTTATAATTCAAATTTAGTCCGAATATTAAGGTTTTGGTGTTGAGAAGTTCTTTTTGGGTTTTCAAATGCTGTAATTTCACTTTGTACAGTTCGAATGAGGCATCAAGTTTCGTTCTCGTCTTCAATTTGATGGTCGTTGTGGAAGAAATGCCCAACTTTTCCATGAAAAATGTTGACAAATTCTTTCTTAAGCTTTCATTAATTCGCCTGAGTTCAACTTAAAGTGCTGATGGTATTTTTAGGACGGGACGTGGATTGAAAGTTGCTTTAAAATCGTGACGGGATTTTTTTTTTTTGAGTGTGTCGTATTTTTTTTTGTGGAAAACACGATAGAATTACTGTGCTGAGAAATTTGTGAAGTTTCAAAAACTTCTTTCGCTCACTTTTTAAGTTAACTTTGCCGCTAAATATTTTTTTTCTTGACGTCATTTAATTAAAGGAGAGCGACAGTTGAAAGACTTCTTGAAAAACAAAGGTTTGACTTCTGAAAGCAAGACGAAACCATGTCATGCAATGGATCCCCCGAAGCCCGGGTGTTTCTTCGGAGCAAAGCGAAATGCGTTGCTTTGCAGTGGAAGTGACTTGGTGGACTTGAGGTGAAGCAAAGCACAAATGCGGTGTTCATTTTGTCAAATTTATTTACGCCCCGATTCGTGCCAAAAATTCAGATTGAGTGAAAAAGCCGGACGCCATGTTGTTGCCAAGGAGGATCTTTCCCCGGGGGAAACCGTATTTGTTGAGAAACCTTATGCGTCAATACTTCTTCCGGACTTCGGCGAGCAACTGTGTCATTTTTGCCATGGTCCTCTTCGTGCACCGATTCCGTATGTATTCAGAATCCTGAAATATGACTGAAAACTCAAGCTGAATTCTTGTTGTATTCTGTATTTGATCTTGATCGTGTTACCTGGATATTTTGAAACTCGGTTCTTGTCAAGTGATGCGTTCGCTATTTTTCATGCATCAGAAGTTAACAATGGGTGGAATACTCTGTCTTCGAATTTTTTTGGTTTTTCGTCGAGCGCAGAATCAGAAAATAGTTCTTAAAGAATACGTGGAGAAGGAATTTATTTTTACAGGTGGGCTCCCTTGACAACGATTTTCTCTGTCTTGACGATTTTTTTCCCGGGCCCTTGAATTGCGTTGTGGAGAGTCCACCTGTTCTGTTTTTACGATGATCTATTGAGGTGGAGTCATTAAGGATTTAATCAAAGTAAATGTGCTGTATTTCAAAAACTCTTTAACCTGCGGATCATGGCTAAGTAATTGTGTGATTCTCTTTGTACACGTTTTTAGTTGCATCCATTGCGTCGAACCCAGATTCTGCGATGAAAAGTGCCTCGAAGAAGCGTCAACATTCCACCAGTTTGAGTGTGGTTGGACATCGTTTCTGGAGTCCGTAGGTCTTGGCCACCTTGCCATACGAATCCTTACGACAGCTGGTCTCGAAAATGTCGTCACTTACTCTGTGAATGCGAATCTGCATGCCATGTCGAACACGGGGTTATTGCCATTGGATTCCTCCGAATATTCTTCTGTTTGGCGTTTGGAGGAGCATACTGACAAGGTTACCGAAGAAGACGCGAATATCTATGAACAGGTAGATGTTCTTTCGGTAGAGAAATTTTCTTTTATTGTACTATCTTGATGAATGTTCCTACTTTCTCCGTCGTGATGACGTATTTTTTAAGTGGGGGTAGATGTCGCTGGCAATCACGACGAGTGCATTTGAAATTATCTTTGAGTCAAGTCGTGCTAAGTTTCATCTGTTTCTGGGTTCCACAATTTCGGAATACGCGGAAGGATCATGCAGGAATATGATGTACTGTATTTTCTGAATTGAATGCAAAAAATGAGCAATATTGAATGATCAAATTCCACGGCTTTTTAAACCTAACTGCTCGTTGGGAAAAAATGAGGAAGACTATGTTGAAGCCTTGCTGAGCTTTGTAAGAAGTAAAACTGTGAAACTGATTTAAATTTGAACTGTACGAAAGCCAAAGCTGGCATGAAATCAATTGCAGATCATGTGGACCCCGAAACGCACATTTCCTTCAGCAACAAATGAGTTGGAACATGAATACTGTTTATCTATATTGAATACCTGTAATTGAATTTCAGAAAGTCAGTCCCTTCCTCTTTTGAGAAAATCGGGAATTCAAGCCTACAAAATAGAAAATTCCAAATGCTTGAAAGCGACTCATGGTGTATTTTTTTGTTTTCAGAACGCAAATTTACTTATCCGGTGGCTTGAAACGAAGACGGAATACTTCGGAAAATTGGAAACCCTTCAGAAAACCTACCCGCAACTGGACCAAGTCGCGATTATCGATATCGTGAAGAAAGCTCTGATGAAGCACATCAACCAGCTAATAGTGAATGCGCATGCCATCGGTCATGTGATGGAAGATGGGCAAGAAAAACGTAGAGGAATCGAAAGCTTTTCACGTGATGAATTCGTCGCTTTGCGGGAAACGAAAGTGGCAACCGGTATTTTTCCATGCTCGGGGATGATGAACCATTCATGCGTTCCAAACATCTCAACCAGGTACTTCTGATAGAAACGAAACACGATTTTATAGAGGAAATATAACGGTTTATTTTTTTCAGTTTTTACAAAAACGTCATCGTTGTTCGCGTGGCGGAGAGCGTTAAGAAAGGCGACGATCTCTTCAACTGTTACGGTAATTTCCCAAATGTTTTCCCAGTTTTTTTTATGAAGGAATTTGAAGTTTATGATGAATCCTCGCATTTCAGGACCGTTTGCAAAACGAAGCAGGAAAGTGAAGAGGAAAAAGGAGCTCGCGGAGCAATATTTTTTTGAATGCGCATGTTCGGCTTGCCGCGATCCTGACGACGGTGTTTGGGTGAGCTGTTTCAAAAATACAGTAATCGTGATTTTTCAATTGAAAAAGTGTGATTTTATTGTTTCAGGCTTGGTTGGACGCGTTTGCATGTCCAGAGTGTGGACATGCTTTGAGTTCTTCAGACGAAGTCAAGTGCAATTCCTGTCAATCATCAGTAGATGTCAAAAGTTTGGAAAACGACATGGAGAAATCGAATGTCAGATGGGAAAAAGGTAAATTTTTATTTGGCTATTGATCACTGTGAAGATTCCATCTTGTGGATGTTTCATGGGTTCTTTTCCTCCTGACGACTGCTGCTCCTGAACTGTATGCTTTTTTATTATTATTAAATAATTGACACCTGGGTTTTTGTGAAAGGATTCCCAACTCTGCTGCCGCTGTCGTAAAATCAGAAGCTGATGAAAAATATGGAACTTCAAAATGAACTTTTAATAATTTCATGCTCACGCAAGAAATAAAGGCGTAAAGACTTTGAGCCTGTCTAAAAAAAGAAGTACAGTTGTGCTGTGCCCTGTGCGACTAAACGTGAAGATCGGAAAGATTAAATATTTTAATTCCGCTAGAAATGAATTTCCCGGTGAAGCTCTGATGTAAAAATGGACTTTTTTCGAGTCAGGATATTTAATCAGGTGGCCGCCATCTGTCATTCTAAAAATTAAATTCAGGCAGTGGAAAAAATCTTGAGTGTCAAATTATTTTTTAATAATTCGTCTGATGATGCATTTTTTTCGTCAGAGTTCAAACGATGCTTCGATTCAGACGTCTTATAAAAATAATAATGAATATACTGTACTGAAACTACTGATGGCATTTATTTTTCGAAATCAGCAAATTCCTTTCTAACTTCAAATCTTTTATTTTATTTCATTTTTATCTGTAGGGATGGACGAATTCGACGCAGGAATTTCATCCGCATTCAACCATCTTCTGTCTGCATTGGAAATCCGTGAAAGGGTTCTTTTCAAGCACAATCGGTCCCGTTCTGTCACATACGATACGCTTGCGAGGTGTTACGCAATTCGAAGAGATTTTGGAAAAAGTTTACATTTTCTGGATCTTTCGCTCGTTTGTGTTGCCGCGAGATTTGGCCCGAATTCGATTGAATACGGATACGAGTTGTGCAAATACCTGGAAGTTGCGATCGGATTGGCAGCGCAAATGTCGGAGCAGAAAAAAGGATCTCCTCTTAATAACGAGTAAGTTTCAAATTGTCAGCATCGACTCTCGGTATTCATCTTTGAAAAATTATTCTTTCGAAATTTATTGTAGAATTCGGAAGAACGTTGAGATCTCGTGGTCTAAAGCGGTGAAGATATTCAAAACGCTGCATGGACCATGGAGTGAAATGTTGCAGTCGTTGGAGAAAATCCGCGAAGAAAAGTTGCTTCCATTATCTTTCGACATCGATGAATCGTGCTGTTGAAAATTTTCCTCTGCGTAAACACGCTTTGATTTTTTCTGAGCTTGGAGTATTTAATTTTTGTAGATTAGTTCATTATAACTGTTTTTTGCAAGAGTTGAAAATGGGGATCCCTTTTCAACGGTCATTCGAATATACTGTACTCCCTCCAGTGAAGAAATTCCGTTGGGAATTTGTCATAGTGAAAGTTATTCGTAGTTTTTTAGAGGATGAAAGAAAAGTACAGTAGCTCAATTCATCCTTTTTGAAAACGTGCCAAAGATATTTATTAATTTTGCCAAGGATATACTTATTTCATGCTTACAAAACACAGAATTAGCAAAGAGTATTGGATGATTCATGCTAGTGAAAAGTGTTACCACATTTTTCGTAAATGAAACTGAAGCGATGAAACTTAAGACAGTTTAATATGAACATGAGCTGCTTGAAGCAAGTGTGTTCAGTAGACGATGTTCTGGGTTTATTATGATAAGTTCCTCGGTTTTCGGTGATTTCACTGCAAGTGATGAGATTTCAAGCATGGAAAAAAGGCTTGGTCCAGTTTTAACGTATCATTTTGAATAAAACTTTACTGTACGCACTTTCAGAATATGAAGTCTTGAGATGTGTAATAATCAAAGACGATGTCAGTGTGGATAAATGAGAGAACCTTCATGAGCCTTGCGATGAGACACCGGATGGAACCTTCAGGAATGTCTTAAATTCCTACTCGGAAAGGCTTCCTGTTAACCCACATTTTACCCTTTCGTCATGATGTACGTTAATAAGATGCTGAAGCCGCAGTGACGCTTAAACGTGACAGATCTTCCGATCTGTCGTAAAAAAAAGAGGATGGAATTCCTGACCAACCCTTGGAAGGGGCGGCAGAAGGCGTCCTCTTCCATCCTACCCAAGAGAAATGGCACAAGAGATGGCACGGACGCGTTGTCCAAGATCGTCGCCAGTGTGGCCAACAAGAGCATTCAGAATATGCCGTGTTCGGGGCAAAGCAAGGAGTTTCTGACGAGTGGAATGCTGCCGATTCGACACGAGATGGCGCCACCGCACACGGGATTGATTCCAATTTCAGTTCCGGTGCCAGCGAGTTGCGTGACGCCGAGGCTTCTCCCGGAAAACAACGTAAGAGCTTAGGCGATGGAAAACTTGCAAAAAATCATCGCACGTTCGTTTGTTCACCTTTCAGGAAATGAAAACAAAATTCCGAAATTTTTTTCATCTTTTGGATCGTATTCGTGACATCTTGAAAAAGTTACATATACGCAAGGAAAACTAGTTTTATTTACAGTACTTTCCTGTAGATGTCGCTATTGTATGGCTTCCCTCGAGAGGAAACAAAAATTTAGTTTTTTTTTACCCTTTTAACCGATTTTTCCTATTCCTGTATTCTGTTTGAAATTTTGTACGGTAATTTCTTTACCTTCTTGTCGCATCTTCAAATGTTTAGGATGCTCTTTCGTGTTCGTTGCGTGCCACATGTTTTGAAAATTCTAACAATTTCTGCTGAGTAACCTTTTTGGGATTTTAGGACATCCTGTAATTTTCGAACTGGTGTCGTTGCGATGGATTGAAATCTGTTTATTGTCTGCTTGATTATTTCACTCTGAGAAGAATGTTCATGAAAATAAATGGTGGCAGTATGTTGGACCCGTTTGATCTCATGACGATTTTTTTTCGCCACGCAGTCGCCTGATCGGACTAAAACGCAGTTCATGTTTGCCGTGGCCCTTTCAATGGAACAAACTGTGAGTCTCATTAGTTTTGATATAGTCGACAAGTTTTTTTTCTCTCGAAAATCTAGTGGTTTGCACTCAATTAATTTTTTCCTCGACTGTGCAATTTTAAATACGTTCAATAGAGAAATCTTGATTCACTTGGAAATTTAACCAATATATTCTTTACATTTTAGATAATGGTTGAAACAGCAAGTAAATTTCAATTCTCAGATGGCCTGAAAAATTTGCAGCATTCTGTATCCTGGGTGAGAACTCTGGCCATATCTGCACAGTCTTCACTTATCATGAAGTAAATTAAAAAAAAAAAAAAAATTATCTTGAAAGAAATCCCAGAACCTTGTACAGTAACATCATGGGCTACATATTTTTTTTTACATTCATACCTACGCCTGCAATAACAAAGATCGCAGGATGTGCAATAGCGGAGAGTCGTGACGTGCAATGTGATATACGTACTTCGTGATTCACCAGGAAGATGCCAATGGAGCAACGCGGGAAACCTTCGCTTTGACCACGACACTAAAGGAATCCTTCGGCAAATACCTGGCTCTTCCCTTCCGCCGCGCTTCTTCCACCACGGCGACCCGTTCGAATAATATTCGGAGAATCGATTCCGGCCACCCTAAGAAACCCAAGCTCACCCACCGAAGCACCTCGGACACTTTCACCAAGAAACTAGCTCCGAATCGCGATCGTCGATCATTGAAGCAAAAACTTCTTGTCGATAAGAAAGAGAGTGTCGTTAGGAAGGAATCCGTCGCTAAAACGGTGCCTTCGCCGCCGCCGCCGCCACCACCACTGCCGCCGCAAGATTTCGGTTGGATGAAGCCGAAACACAAGAAACTTCCAGTGGTTCATCCAGCCAAGGGTGCGAAGGTGGTGGAACGAAAAGAGCCCATGTGTTTTGATGACGAGCTGATCAAGAATGTGCCTTTGTTGGAGCCTTTTGCTGTATCAGAGGTGAAATTTCATGTCTGATGCAGACGACGTATTCATGTTTTTATCTAGGCCGTGCTTTTTCCATTTAGAAACGTTTCGATGCGGCCTATATTTGAAGTGTGTTGAGCTGAATTTAATTGAAAGATGGAATGAATACTTCCTTCGGACTTCGAACACAGTACGAGTATCATTAAATCAAGTACAGTATTGTTGGAAACATTTGAGTGTAAATGTACAGTGAGATACTGTACTTACCTTCCTTGCGTACCAAAGGCCCCTTTCTATTTTTTAAATTATGTGGAAAAAAGGAGGGTGTGTTTCTTGTGTTGGTATGGTATTTTGCAAGCCTAAGTGCGTGTCATACTTGATTTTGATGTAAAATTGTGGACCATTTCTACAATTACTGTAATTCAAAAAAGGCAATTACTGAAAATTAATTGGATTCCAATTCAATTCAAATTCTGAAGTAGTTTCTTTTTCAAAATATTTTCTATCACTGAAAATGTGGAATGCATCTTACTCACGATCTGGAAAAGGGTTTTATCTGAATTCTAGGCTGAAAAATAAAGGTGCTGTATTTGTCTTCAGTAAATAGAGTACCGTAATGAAATAACCTGCTGAAAAACATGCAGGCCGAACGCATGTTATGCTTGAAATAGTTGTAATTATTTACGGTATAGGTTGCATTTTTCTCTCTCGATTTTAGACAAGGAAGTTCATTACTCTAAGTTGTCCGTTTATTGCTGATAGGAAGGAAGTGTGGATTATGCCTAGTTAGGAAAGTTTTTTCTAGTTTTCCAGCCAGAAAGAATTTCTTCAACAGTATCCTGTCGTCGGCGGGTTACTTTTGATCCCGCACATCCATCAATTTCGAAGTTTTTCAATGTTTTCAGAGGCGTACAGCAGTTGACAGCTATATCGTTTGCGTAATTTTTAGTTTTTCGCCATATTTAAGGGTTTTATTGAAGTTCCCGCGTTTAACGTACCTATAATCAATGTTCGGCAGGATCCTTCGTAAAAAGTATTCTCAGCATCATGTCTCCGTTAATTTTATTTGCAGGGGGATCCATTCCACTACCAAATCTTAGGTATGCAAGATGCTCTGATGGACATCACGGAAGAAATCGGGAGAATTTTCGGACGTGAAAGCTTGACCATTGAGATCGTGAAAGCCGAAGACTCCGTTCAACGTTCCATCCTTATTTCGAAAATGCAAGAGAAGAATCAAAAAGATTTGAATCGCATGTCGAAGTCCCTCGAACTTTTCAGATGGCTTCTGATACAGGTTCTTTTTCTTGAAGCTGATTTTGGCTGAGAATTCCTTTTCTATTTGATTCTCTTGTGGACAGATTTTGACAAAGAAGTACCGTGATTCGAATCAAAAGCTGGAGAGGTCCTTCGACAAGTACGAGATCACATCTTTAGCACAGTGGTTTAGGTTGGCGTCCATTTCCGAAGTTTTGATCGACCACTGCGGACGTAATCGGGATTCGTATTCCTCTCAGCTCGTAAGTCGAACAGTGCCTGCCTCAGTATAAAATTGTATATGAACGAATCTCTGGCGACATCTAGGAAAACTTGCTGAAGTTCGTGAACGAGAAGCTGGGTCATCCTGGGCTTTCGCAAACCCAGGGACGATCTTGGAACAGCACCGGGATCCCTAAAATCGGATTCATGTCCGTGGGAAGTTTGAAGAAGAACGCCGTGCTTGAGAAGATGTCTGGCGGAAATGTGAAAGGTGAGTATTGTTCTGTTTCTTCACATACACCAGGTTCATTAGCCAGATAACCGCGTGTTCACCCCTTGACTAAAAACATTACTGTTTTAATTTATCAAGATGCGAAAAAAGTCAGAAATGCAGCGAAAGTCACCACAGATGTACGCCAATTTTATCGTGTATCACGTCTTGGGTAAATGGCGTGCGAAAATGCTCTGGGATTAATGGCCAAGTCCGGAAGGTAGAAAAATTCCGGGTTCTAGAGTAGAATCAAAAGCTATGAGCAATAATTTCGGGAATACAGCATCCTACTGTACTGCACATTTTTATTGATAAGAATTATTTCGCTGTTCCAAGCAATTAGCTTCAAATCGGCTACGTTGAATGGATTCGTAAGTTTAGATTGAGTTTCTATAATTACGAGAACGCAGCTACGAGATTCAACACAAATGGAATACAGTATTCAAAGATCAAAATATGGGATATTGTTTCACAAATTTCCAATCAGAAAACAATTTCTTTCGGTAGATTAATTTATTTCCTGTGTAAGCATGACTAAATAATGAACAAAATTGGGTCGTCTGTGACATATATGCTCCTTGATGAACAGTGATGAATGAAGCGTGGATTTGTCAGATCTCGTACCGAATAAAAACCGACTATCAATGTGCGAGAATCATGCGAAACTTACATGCATGTGTAAATAATTCTCACAATATTTCCGTTCAAAACTGCATTTCAACTAAACCCCGTTCATCATGGCAATCATTTGATGCTACCATAAAGCTCGCGTTCCTAATTTTTCAACTAAAAATCTCGACTTTTTAGCTTACATGGCTAGCTCACTATCCTGGCTCACACGGAATGAGTCAGTTCACATTTTCAATCAATCCAATCCACTCTCCGAATCTCGTTAGATCACCGCAGAAAACTGAAAAAGGTCAACGACGATTCTGGGTCCAACGATTTTCAACGCAACCATTTTTTTTCCTCCGTCCAGGTCATGAGGTTTCTTAACTTCGAACAATTCTGAAATATTTCCCCCAAGTGAAACTCTCAATTTCAAAATAGCTCTTTCGTAATGCGCAGAATCCCATCCCAAAAATCAAGTGGATAGTTTCTGTACCCTGCCATCATTTTATAACGGTAGTGAATTTTGTCGACGAAAGGCACTGTTTCAAAGCATTGATTTCGCTGGACCCAGACAAAAATGATACTCCATTTCTAACCACGAATGCTGCTGAACTTGATGCAAACTTTTCACAAGAGCCTGATCGGATGATAGCGGAAGAAGTTGCAAATTTGCTCGTAAATGCAGAAATGGAAGCCCGATGACAGGGCAGCTTTCCATAAGCTTGCTGAGTAACCTTTGAAGAGACCTCGCATGCCCTCATGCTTCATCATTGACTGCATGCAGTGCACCAAATTTCGATACTTCTTCAGCTGTAATTTTTTTAGATTTTCATTAATTGCTTACCAAAGGATCACATTTATTTGGCAAAAATGTGCCCAATATTGATATTATTAATTATACAGTCAAATTTCTCCAAGTCAAACTTCAAAGAACCAGGAAAAAAATTTTGACTTAGGGAGGTTTAGAATTGAGCTATAATACAAAGCCTTTTTGTCCTGGGAAGCATAAAAAAGTGCTCAAAATTGTAAATTATGATATTCTAAGGCTGAAATTACTTCTTAAATGAGAAGTATCCTGGAGTTAGGGTTCATTTGCCCAATTAAGTCTCACCCCCTTCTAAAACAAATCCATTTCTGTTCTCATTGCGTTTTTTCTCCCTAGTGTCAAGAAAATGAAAGCCAACAGGCCACATAAAATTTGACTTATGGAGGTTAGAGGGGAAAAGCTTTTGACTTAGAAAGGTTTTAAATGCATAAATTCTAAGGGGATTCAGACAGGGAGGTTTAAGTTATCAAGGTTCAACTGTAAATTGAAGTATTCAAATTTTAGCCAAGTACTGTACACCATCTTCCAAACTTATGATGAAGAGTTTGTGGGTTTGACAATTGATTAAAATGCAATTTAATTTTTTGAATTTGGTTCTAAATGCAATTTAATTTTTTGAATTTGGTTCTAAATTTAATTCTATAACAAAAAAGGGCATGTGTATTGTACTTAAATGCAAATACAGTAAAGTATTTCTAATAGGGACCTTTCCCGATTATTATTCCTAAAACATGAGTCTCTTACACATTGATTTCATACAGTGAAAAAGGCTGAATATGTACATCACTGCTAAAAACAAATTTTAAAATTTTAGTTTACCTTCCCAAAATGCGGTGCCCGGATTTCTTCCATGTTTTGAATCTGCATTCTTTTCTTGGCAACATCCAAAGGATACACAAGAGATTTGGCAGCCATTCCAGACAATCCTCCACTTAGTAAAGTTCTGAGCACAGTTTTTTCCCTTCCTTGATCTGTAATTCGAGTGAGTTAGTGTAATTACAATATATAAGGCTGACTAATCCCAAAACAAATAATTCCGTTTTTTGACATGATCACTGATCTCACCGAAGGAAAAGAAAATGTTTTCGAATCTGCTGAAATTTGTATCTCAAATATGACGACAGCTTGGAACACTAACAATCTTTTGAAAGAGTTTCGTAAATTTCCCGAACATTGATACGCAAATATAAGCAACTATTCAGAAAATTTAAAATCATTTAGAGACGTTGAAATTTTTCGTTGAAAATTCATAACTCGAAACGCTTGAAAATTGGTCGTATTTCTACAGTTTAAACCTTAGAAACGCAGCAAGAAAAAAAGGGTCAGATTTTCGTCATTTGGCACTTCGCGTGTTTGTTGAAGTTCTAAAAAAATACTCACCACTCTTTGGCATGATCAGGTGCGAGAAAAATGAATAGAAGCCAAATTGCAACCCAGTAAACGGGGCAACCTGAATGGCAGCTGGGACGAGGCCCTGAAACAGGCCTCTGTACCCATTCTTTTTTATCACAGAAGCTCCGACCGCATAAACCGATTTGTGAACCTGTCATATCGATTAGTTTCAGTGCAATTGATCTTCACGCATTATACAATGGGGCCCCGAGATGCGGACGTGATTGGTGCTTGAACCTTGTAGCAATGTCAAATCATTCGAATTTCGGATCACTTTTTTTCCGTAGACTTCAATTCCTGTTCATTGAAAATACGGAATGAAGTTCCCAAAAGATTGAATGAAAATTACTTTTCAACTTTAAGAAACAGAAAATAACTTCACCTTGTAGAAAACAACAAAGAATCTGATCTTTTGGTTTCATAAGGAGCTCAAGAAGAAAGGAACAAGAACAATTACATATATACTCCGCACACACAGTAGGGAAAAACTTTGAAAAAAGCACAATACTAGCCTATTTTTGATTTTGAAATTGCAGTAATTTCAAGGTATTACGAATTTTATTTTAATTTTTGTTGCAACTTAATTTGTTCAAGAGATGAAGATGTTGGAGAAGTGCCCATATCTCGAGACATTTTCCAGATGTCCGGGCAGATTTTTATTTTATTTTCAAGCGCCCCTCAGTCGTATTGTCCGTATGTCGGGGTCCCACTTATGTCAGTTATTTGCTCACCTTGGGCTCTCCTTGAGCAACGAGACACGTTCTGATCAGATCCAAGGGGAACGTCAAAGTAGTGGCTGTCACGCCGGCGCAAACCCCACAAAAGAAATGCAAAATATGCCCGTGGTGGTGACCCGAGTGCCCCGATCCAGGGGCGTCCAACAGCCACGCGATTTTCGTGAACAGCTCAAAAGACGTGAATTGCACTCCGCCAAATGCTATCGATAGCAACTGAGCGGGAAGATGACCCTTCCAAAACGCTTGAGATCCTTCTTCCCGAAGAATTTTCTTTGTGGCTTGAATCAAACTGCGATACTTCGGCTTCGTAGTCGACGTTCGCATTTCCGTTTGTATCTGTTGAATAACACAGTAACGAAACGTCGAACGGAAGGAATTATATGCAGGTTCGAACGGACCTTTTTTAACATGGTCCATGGCCCAACACTTCACAAGTACAGTACTTGCAGATTTTTCTTCGAATTTAAATCGTTCTGAACGCTTTTTCTCAACATTATTTTCAAGTCACGCATACGATTGGTTTTGAAAAAAAGAAAACAATCTAGAATATGAATGACTGCCGTCTTTCTTAGTGGAAAAAAATTGAGCACCCATTGACCTCGTCATGACCGCCTGATGATCAGGACGGAGGAATTGAAAAATGACTTACATCAGTGACAAATTTTATCAAGAAAATATATTCCGGACGACAGGCAGTATTATCGTATTTACATGAGTACCACGTGCCCTGGTGGGGTTTTTCAGCTGAAAATTTCGATGAAATCCTATCCCCGGGTCGACGGGCACCCCATTTTTATTGGCTGTAGAACCACGAAGCAGAACAGTAAAATCTTGGCACACCGAAGCCATCGGGACCAGTTAAATAGCTTCGTTGCAACGAAAAATTCGTCATGAAGTAACGCATTCAACATTGTGGCTATTGGACACGAAAAAATACTTCGTCGCATTCCTCATTATGAGATTCTTCTGTATTTCAAAAATTTGAATTTCGACACGAATTTGACTCATTTAATTTTTCCCATTTAAATATTTTCTATGGTCCAAAATTCCTCATTAATTAATGTTTAATATACACCTTATTTTCTGTAAATAAAAAAAATTTATACTCGTCCATGACGCACATCTATTTTTTCTCCACTCAAATTTGGAAAATGGCACTCGAACAAATACGGTAAATCAGCCAAGTCCGAAACGCTTTGAAAATATTCCAGTAGAAACAGCGGAATAGAAATAAATTTTAAAACATAAGCCAAGAATCAAAATTAACGACTGCTGGAAACAATTACCTGAAACCGTATTTTCAACACGTCGAACGGTTGGCAAAGCAACCGCGTAATGATCCCGCTTCCGGCGCCGGCCAAGGCATATTCTGTCTGCGACAGATGCGTCTCGGCATCCGGATCGTAGCCCACCATTTTCGCCCCGCGAAAACTTTTTCACGGTCCCCGAACATAAAAGTCCGCTTGCGATTCACGATTTCACAGAAAACTCGGAACCGAAACCGAATAAGCCGTGTTTCTATCGTTCGAGTTATGTTCAAGTTATGTTCTCTGGAAAAAGAAAGATGGCAAACGAAGCAAAGCACCTTCAGAGTATATGAACTCATCAAACATTTCTTGACCTGCCAAATTGCATCATAGGAGACATTCCGAAAGGCGAAGAATAGCAAGAGCGCATTGACAATTCTCGAAATTTCCAACTCATGGATGATTCATCATAATCGCACAAAAAACCAATGAGCTATTAAACACAACCCTCACGAAACTGAACACAAACGAATGCTGAAATGCTGCCGAAGTTATGAAAATACTGACAAATTCATTCACCGGTATGGATTTTGCTCCGTATCACAGCAATCACCTCTACAATAATTTTACTCGCTCACGGAAGCACGTGCTGTCGAGGTAATTAGAGGCAGAAGTGTAACTAAGAAACTGAAGCTTTCAAGGGATGGGCCAGGAAAATGTTGCAGATTTGCTCGTAGGAGAAAAACATGAGTCCCGTTCCCACCGACGCCTTCCACGAACTTGCAACGTAGCCTTTGTACAGTCCTTTGAAACCTTCGTATTGGACCATTTTTCGTATGCAGTCGACTAGACCGTCATATTGTCGCAGCTGTGTGAAGAGGAAGTTTTTTGAATGTCTTGTAACTTCGAGAGACGAACAGGTACTCAACGTTTTACACTTCCGTAGTCTTGATTCTCCTGAAGAATACTGTACACAGCTACGTCGGTAACCCAATGACAATTTTTAAAGTAACGGTCAATAACTTAAGTCTAGTCCACGTACATTTATTTTTCATAATTCATGGATTGTGCAGGTATTTTATTTGTATTGAAAATTCCGTTGAGAAGCGGAGATTTGCTGCACCTGTCCATCTTAATGTTCCGGAGCTTCTTATTTGATAGTTCATTGAAGCAATGACTGAGCTCCAGGGAATTAGTCACCCGTCATTTTTTTTTTTTTTTTTACTTCGGCAAAATTGCAATTTTTGTCTGCAATAATCAAACTTTATTTTATTTTCATTAGAATCCAATTTCGGTAACTTGATCGGGCCCAGGGCTAATCTTGGAAGGATTTTCGAAAATGATGATTTCTGAGATTTCTCCAAACCATGAATTAGCTCTCGACAACAATCGAAGTTAGTTTCAGTTCAAAGAATCTAGAAACCAGGCTACTTCAGTAAAATTTACTTCGCAGGAAACATTTGCAGAATTAAAATGCAATATCTCACCTTCCCGAAATGTGACGCTCGTATTTCCCCCATGTCCTGTATTTGTAACCGCTTTTTCACAACATCCAGTGGATACACGAGACTTTTTGCAGCGAATCCGGCAAAGGCCCCGCTGAATAACGGACAAGACATACTCCTTCCGTCTTCCCTTCCTTGAAAATAAAATTAGATATACGTTTGTTAACAATTCTTGAAATTTTAAAACATGTCATTTTTACATTTTAGAAAATGGTTACAACAGCAAAGAAATTTTAATTTTCAGCTGGCCTGACGATTTTCAGCATACTGACAAGAGTGGAGATCTCTGGCCATAACTGGAAAGTTTTTGTGCAGTAAATCATTTTTTTCTATCTGAAAAAAAAAACCCCAAAACCTTAAATCATGGGTTATATTGAATCAGTGTTCCCCAACCTTCTTGGGCCCGTGGTCCAGCAAATTAAAAAAAAAAAAAATGCTGTTGACTGGCAAAGTTTCATAAAATTTTGCAGACTCGCCTAAGTTTTGATTGAATCTTATTAAGCAGGTATTTAAAGGAAAATTTCAGTTACGAATGTCATCAAGCAATTAGAAAGTTGGGCGTGGAACAAGATTTCTTCTGAATGATAAATTGAAATGCAGTAATTTTCAGCAGGTGAAAAGTTGTCTTAAGTGTTCTTAGGAGAAAAGCCGACTTTTCTTTTCATCAGAGAATTCAACTGCCGTTGTCCTTCTAAAATTTTGGGCAAAGAGAACAGACTTCATCCTGTCTTGTAAAAAATTTATTGTGCTGAAAATTTTTCACAGATTGGCAAAAAACTTCCGCAGACCGGCGCAGGCCACAGGTTGGGGAGTACTGGGCTATATCATTTTTTTTTTTTTTTTTTACAGTCACACCTACTCTAGAAATAATCAAGGTCGTGCCCAAGTGGGACAACCCTCGTAGATATCTTTGCAGTAAATTCAATCAAATGGATGCCTATTTTATCACAAGTCTAAAGGAGAGACTGGAAACTTACCCAACAGAGGTTGAAAAAAGTTCATGAAAACCGAGTAAAATCCAAACTGGAAACCCGTGTAGGGAGCAACTTGAACGTTGGATGGTCCAAGACCCTTGTAAAGCCCAAGTAATCCATTTTTCTTGATCACTCTTCGTCCCACTGAATACATGGAAGAATACACCTGAAAAATTCAGACTTCAGATTACTAGTTTTCTCAAGTAGGAAAAATCAAACAGATACACAAACCTTTGGTTCTCCTTGAGCAACCAAACAAGTTCTGATGAGATCGAGCGGAAATGAGGCAGTAGTTGCACTCACTCCCGCAAAAGTCCCACAAATGAAATGCTTCACGTGCTGTTTTTGTTTGCTGAATGCTGGAAACAGCCGGGATGCATATGCGGAGTAAAGTTCGAAGGTCCCGAACTAGAAAACAAATGCCGAAGGATGACGAAACGATCAGTCCATCATTCCTTCACGTGAGAACGCAGCATTTGAAGGTGGCATTTTTCAGCATAAATTGTTGGAAAATATTTCGGGTCAATATCATGTCAGCTGCAGAAGCTCCTGACGTGTCCTTACAAAGACATGTGGGAGAGATGGCTAAATTGCAGTTAAGGATAATTTGAGATATTCTGGGCCTTAAATTGCTGCTTAAATGAGTTGACAGAATGCTGAACTTGGAAGCAAGGGTTCATTAGCCCAATCAGTCTTTCACTTCCATTCAAAACCACATCAAACAAAATTTGTATTGCTTTCAGGCGACATCTACAGTACTTGACATTCTGGAGTTTCATTCTCCTGCGTTGAGAAAGTAATAGCCAAAAGCCCTCAGAAAATTCGACTTACAGAGGTTTGAGAGGTACAGCCTTTGAGTTAGAGAGGCTTTCAATGTACAGTACAGTACTTCTAAAGGAATTCAGCCGCACTCGAAAACAATCCAACTTAGGGAGGTGTTCGAATTCCGGAAATTCGAGTCATCGAGGCTCAACTGTAGTGCTAGGTACAGTACTAACTTGAACACTGCTGTAGGTGACTTGAAGGAATTGCGCCGGCACATGTCCTTNTGCTGAACTTGGAAGCAAGGGTTCATTAGCCCAATCAGTCTTTCACTTCCATTCAAAACCACATCAAACAAAATTTGTATTGCTTTCAGGCGACATCTACAGTACTTGACATTCTGGAGATTCATTCTCCTGCGTTGAGAAAGTAATAGCCAAAAGCCCTCAGAAAATTCGACTTACAGAGGTTTGAGAGGTACAGCCTTTGAGTTAGAGAGGCTTTCAATGTACAGTACAGTACTTCTAAAGGAATTCAGCCGCGCTCGAAAACAATCCAACTTAGGGAGGGGTTCGAATTCCGGCAATTCGAGTCATCGAGGCTCAACTGTAGTGCTAGGTACAGTACTAACTTGAACACTGCTGTAGGTGACTTGAAGGAATTGCGCCGGCACATGTCCTTTCCAAAAAGCATGAAAACCTTCTTCGCGTAGAATTTTTCTCGATGCTTGTACCATTCCACGGTACTTCGGCTTCCTCTTCCCGGACACATTTTCCGACTGAATCTGGAATGAGAATAGAACAATTCTCGATTCTTCCTTTGCATCAACAAGTTCCCGCCCTCCTCATAAATAATCCCGCGGGTATACGAATGAGTTCCGAAATAAACGCTGCATTTAAATATAGAACTCCTCAACTATTACTATCCAGGTTTTATATTTTCAATTATATCGTTCAGTAGAATTTTGTTACAAATAATCATTTGGAACCTCGAAAAAACATTTGTTACGAACAAAATTCGTTGAAATGAAATCAAAATAACATCGTGGTTTTAGGATAGGGACTGAAAAAAATACTTCGTGAGCATTGATTCGTTGTAACCCGATTCTACTGCAGTTCAAATACAAGACAGATAATTCATTGTTCGGATCATCACTCAACAATACTCTAGGAACCCACAGACACGGCAATATATTCCTCGCAAACTTCAAGCCTAATCACTAAACAGGGTGGGAAAGAAAAAAACGAACCAATCTTCAAGTTGAGGTAGCTCAGTAGCAAATCAAGCTATGGCAATGAAAAAAAAAGCCAAATGAAAGCTTGTTCAATTCCCCTTCGAATGGTAGACTTGCGCTCCCAAATGCCATTGTCTGGTCACAAGAACCATTTGAGTGAAAACTTTCCAGAAAAAAAAGTAGTTTTCAGGCAACTTCTTCCACTACGCTGCTGTTCTCCAGAGCTGTTTTTGGGTATGAATGAGGTGCAGGACCAGTAATTTAGATATCACTCTTCATGCTACCTTCACAAGGATGCACTATTCTCAGAATTTAGTAGGTCGGGGTGAGAAGTGCCACCAAAAAAATTGAGAGCAGTGGGATTTTGATCCACTGATCCTGATGCAAGCTTGCTGCTGGGTGCAAGCCTCATGGCTCACGTTTCTAAAGTAGAGATAAATCCTTTCTGGATTATACTAAAGACACACTACCACAAATAGATGAAGGCCACCTAATGCATCAGCAACCCTGTAACCCTTCCAGATTACTAACCTGAAACCGGATCTTGAGAACATCAATCGGCTGACTCAGGAATCGGGTTACGAACCCGCTGCTGGCCCCAGCCAGTGCGTATTCCAGTTCAGAGAGGCGCCGACTTGCATCATCTCTCCTCAGCATAACACACACTCGACCACATTAATATAAATATAATCCTATTAAAAATATGATGCGATTTAATAAGGGAGACACGAACATGGTAATAACGCTAGCCAAATGCCGAGGGTTCTCATGCTGAATTTCGTCAAAATCGAATTTGAAGATCAATTGATTCTCTAGAAGATGCAATGGTAGGGTTTTGGTCACATCTTCCCATTCTGGAAATGCTTGTCGATTTTCTCTAATTTTCGTTTTGAGATTTAATCGTTCCTCCAAGAACTTTGTTATAACACTGATTCGGAAGTTGNCTCTAGGAACCCACAGACACGGCAATATATTCCTCGCAAACTTCAAGCCTAATCACTAAACAGGGTGGGAAAGAAAAAAACGAACCAATCTTCAAGTTGAGGTAGCTCAGTAGCAAATCAAGCTATGACAATGAAAAAAAAAGCCAAATGAAAGCTTGTTCAATGCCCCTTCGAATGGGAGACTTGCGCTCCCCAATGCCACTGTGTGGTCACAAGAACTCTTTGAGTGAAAACTTTCCAGAAAAAAAAGTAGTTTTCAGGCAACTTCTTCCACTACGCTGCTGTTCTCCACAGCTGTTTTTGGGTATGAATGAGGCGCAGGACCAGTAATTTAGATAGCACACTTCATGCTACCTTCACAAGAGTGCACTATTCTCAAAATTTAGGAGGTCGGGGTGAGACGTGCCACCAAAAAAAAATGAGCAGTGAGATCCTGATCCCCTCCCCAATCCTGATGCAAGCTTGCAGCTGGGTGCAAGCCTCATGGCTCACGTTTCTAAAGTAGAGATAAATCCTTTCTGGATCATACTAAAGACACACTACCACAAATAGATGAAGGCCACTATTACGTAGTCGTTGGGACATTGGGAAGGTCTAATGATTGGACTTTGGCCTAGAACTCTTGTAGTTAGCCGACTGAGTCCTTAGCCCAATGCTTGGGCGACGACCGGGGTCGGTCACGCATAAGGTCTTCAGAGAGGCGCCGACTTGCATCATCTCTCCTCAGCATAACACACACTCGACCACATTAATATAAATATAATCCTATTAAAAATATGATGCGATTAAATAAGGGAGACACGAACATGGTAATAACGCTAGCCAAATGCCGAGGGTTCTCATGCTGAATTTCGTCAAAATCGAATTTGAAGATCAATTGATTCTCTAGAAGATGCAATGGTAGGGTTTTGGTCACATCTTCCCATTCTGGAAATGCTTGTCGATTTTCTCTAATTTTCGTTTTGAGATTTAATCGTTCCTCCAAGAACTTTGTTATAACACTGATTCGGAAGTTGGTAACACTGAGATTGTTTTAACATGTAATCTATGGGTTGTCTGCAGGGACTTGTGAAAAAGTTTGTTGTACTGTCTTGAGAAAATTTTTTTAACAGTATTTCCCGTAAGGAGATTTTACTGTATCGCCAAGAAACACTCCTGGGTAGAAAATCAAATTATGCAGCCACAACACGCAAGAACCCCGTAGTTCTCCGTAGCCTGAACACTGATCGAAAGTAAAATCCTCCATCTTCATCCATCACCAAACGAACCAACCGCCAATTTCAGAAATACGGTGACCCCCGGGATTTTCGAAACGCGACGCGGTTAAAATTTACAGTACCACGCAGACGAATCTCCCAAGACGAAGGACAAGTCCAGAATACGAAAGTTAATTATCTAATCTGTGTTCGTTCCACAGCCGCCTCTTCAATCCTGATATCGCGCAGAGCAGGAGGCGCTCAGATCCCCAAGAAACCCAACAAAAACACAACTACCACCACCACCGCCGAGGAAGTGAAGTCTGTGCCTCAGTTCTCACAGAGCTTTGCAGCGACCATCGCAAAACCCGAAGAGAACCTGGCAAATGTTCGCGACGCATGTCTCGGGGAACTGGTTGGTGCCATCAAGGATCGAGCTGCTCGACTAGCTGCCGCAGGATGCTTCGACGCCGGGGACAACGCCATTTCTCAATCTTGCGTGGCAGCCATTTCTGGAAACGTTTCTGCGCCGGTTCTGTAGGATGGACGCACTGACCATCGAACGCATTTTAGCTTATTTTTCTTCAAGGGAAAATTCGATGAAAAAATATTTAATTAGCTTCACTTATCTTCATTCCTCTAAATTCTAAAACATCCTCTTTTCAATGAAATACCACGACTTGGAATCCTACACGGCGCAAGAACATCTCAGCGATGGCGACAATAGCGGCAAGAAGCAAATCAACGGAGGCGCGAAACCGAATTTTGAAAGTGAAATACAGTATATGCGAAAAACTAGGTAAAAGGGTTTAGGGAAATCCCTCCAATGATAGATGCTTTACAGAAATTTGTACTTGATGATATTCTGGGCTTTAAATTGTTTTTTAAATGAGTTGACAAGATGCTGAACTTGGAGGCAAGGATTAATTGTCCCAAATAGTCTTTCATTTACTTTCAAAATGCATCAAGTTATACAGTACTGTATTTTCATCAGTTATCTCTTTCCCGTGTCAAAATACTGTAACAGCCAAAAGGCCTTCATAGAATTTTGAGTCATGAAGGTTTGATGGTGAAAAGCCTTCAAGACAGGGAGATTTTAAATACATTTTCTAAAACCAACACAAGGACTGTAAAAAAAATGTTCACATACGGAGGTAATTATCGGAGCTTCGAGTTATCGAGATTTAACTCGAGTTTTCTCGAGAACATTCGTCAGCTTGATAAACTTGACTGTTCTAATTTCTAATTACTGTGGATTATTCCTTGCCTTAATTTTCAACGGACTAATAAATCATAAGAAATCCTGAATGTTACTGAAATACTGTCATGATTAACTGACAAAACGCTTCGATCGTCATTTTAGTGGCTTTCGGAATAAAAGTGAAAGACGATACCCGGTCAACGTAGCGTAAAATAAAAAACAAAATGCTATTTTCGTATGGCTATAAATATGAATCGCAGCTCACGCAGACACTTACAGTATTTCACGGCACAGATACAGTAATGCAACTGACCAAGTGAAATCGCTCATGGACGCACGGGATCGATACAGCACGACAAATTGCCTGAAACCGTATTTTCAACGCATAGAAAGCGATATCCTGCAAAAGCATCAACGTAATGATCCCACTTCCGGCGACGAACAAGGCATATTCTGTCCACGTCAGATGCGTCTCGGCATCCGTTTCATAATTCTCCACTTCCGCAACACAACATCTTTTTTCACTATCATAAAAAATAAAATTCCACTCGCGATTCATGATTCACAACTAAATAAACCGCGTTTCTTCCATGCTTCTCTGGAAAAAAAGATAGCAAACTAAGAAAAACACCTTCAGATATATATTTAAATGAGCTGTCAATAACTGGTCAGTTTAAAACATTTTAAGTTTTTACTCTCCTTAAGTTACTCGCGTAACTGTTAAAAACTTTCAAGTCTGCGTACCTAGGAGGTAGGATTAACGTGAAAAATCAACGAGCTTTTTCAACACAACTCTCAAGAAAACGAACACGAACGAATGTTGAAATGCGGCCGAAATTACGACAATACATGTACAAACAAATTCATTCTCCGATACGGATTTTTCTCCGTATCACAGCATTCACCCCTACAATATTTTTGCTCGCTCAAGGAAGCACGTGCTGACGAGGTAATTAGAGGCAGAAGTGTAACTAAGAAACCGAAGCTTTCAAGGGACGGGCCAGGAAAATATTGCAGATTTTCTCGCAGGATAAAAACATGAGTCCAGTTCCCACCGACGCCTTCCAAGAACTTGCAACGTAGCCTTCGTACAATCCTTTGAATCCCTTTCATTGGACCATACTTCGTACGCAGTCGACGAGATCATCATATTGTCGCCGCTGTGAAATGACAAACGTTTCACGACGCTATCGAAAGTTTAGCGCAGAACTCGATATTTATAAGAAACGGAAGCTTCAACAGAAACATTTTACACAGTAAAAAAAAATTTTTACGCACTCGAAAGTCTTACAAATGGAATGCTTCGAGGGCTGTTTTGTTCGCTGAACGCTGGGGAAATTTGATGTCATTCCACACAAAAGCTCGAAAATCACGAAATAGAGAACTATGTATTTTTTTATGATCTCCAAAAATAAATTTTCTGATTTTTCATAAGTGCCGCTTTCTCAAACAAAATTTTGCGTCCAACGTGACGATGCAGGAACTTGCCCTCAAAGCTTTCTGCAGAGTCATTTTCCTTGAAAAAACTTCTTTTTATGCAAAGTCGCAAATGAAAAAAAGAGGATGAGCACCAAGAATTTCGCCCTTATTTCCTCGTTGAAAAAAAAAATTATATTCTGGCAGTTGAAGAAAAATTGACCGTAATACTCAAATCACGAGTAGCGTCTGATTTCCATGCAAAGTTCAGAAACAAAAATTAACCACTGGTTGTTGAAATGTTTTTCTGGATGGAATTCGCTTTCTAAACTTCTTTAAATATGTCACCCATTGATCTCGAGACCTTTCTCAAATCATTCAGTGAAAAATTTTCAGCATTTCATCAATGTTAATCATCGCACCTTTCCTTCCTCAAACTGTAAATTGATGTTTCAAATCGTCAGGAAGCTACTATGACCCTTGTTTTTTTAACGAAGAGATAAGTTCTTTTTCTGTCGTTTTAAAGGCACAGTACCAAAAATAGAAGATTAACTTCATGCATCAGCAACCCATTAAATCCTCCAGATTACTCACCTGAAACCGGATCTTGAGAACATCAATAGACTGAATCAAGAATCGCGTCACGAAGCCGATGCCGGCCCCAGCCAGTCCTTATTCGGAGCCGGAGGTGCGACGACTTGCATCATCTCCCCTCAGCATAACATACACTCGACCACGCCAATAAAAACATTATGAAGAATCCTGGACGAAAAGTAGCAAAAAGAGACGGCGGCAAAAACGTGGCTCCATCTCAATTTAAATGCATGAATATAAAACCCGAGCACTCGAAAAAAAAATGGTGAACTAATACGTACCACAAGTACAGGAAAGCGACAGAACTTCTGGAACACTCAGGAAGTGGTGCATGAACAATAGCCTGTCTTCGAAGCAGTAAAATCCAGAAAACGCCTTAATTAGAGGACAGTTTTCGGTTGCGTTCTACCGCTACCACCGCTTTTTTGAATTAGATCTTAAATTTATTTTGATCCCAGGGACACGGGAAAATGTTCCAAGAAAATTAGGACACCGTTTTCAGCTAAAGTACCAGACTATTTTTTTTTTAGCTACATGGAGGTGAACATCTAAATACACAGTAAGCCCACTAGAAAGTAGAGTTCCACGATGATATTTTCGTCTCATTCAAATTATAGAATTCAAAAGATAAAGTAGAAAACAAATGTAAAGAAAATTCAGGAAAATGTCTCTCGGAGATTTGGAACCGATTATGACGCTCTGTTTGTAAACTATCCACATTTGCGAAAATAAAACGATATCCCGTAGCTTCGCTGATTCCACGAACGAAATAAAGCGGGACAGATGCTCGGAGATGAATGATGACTCTAAAAAAATTACAGCGGGTCAATATTTCATTGATTTATGAAAAGCACGCATCGAAGGAAGAGAAAATCTATTGCCTCGACGTCAAAAAACCCATTACGGCACAAGTTTTTCCAACTACCCGGATCCACTCGACAAGACATCGGGTCACGACGAAGGCGTGAAAGCTGGGTTGAAATTCACGGCATTGATCCTCGGCCGATCGTCTTCTTCCTCTCCTTCTTTGCCATCTTCTAACCGCTTACGACCCTCGGGATCATCCATAGCAATCACAGCACCGACCGGCNCCTCGGGATCATCCATAGCAATCACAGCACCGACCGGCGAACGAGACTTGAACACCACGGGAACTTCCCCGAGGCGGGGGTTCGTTCGTTGCAGGAGACGAATCCAAGAGAGTAACGAGTCCCGACTTGACGTGCCGGTGGCACATGCCGCGAGAATCACGCCGTCGGCTTGCTCGTGAACCGACGGAGTCAGTGCTTTCACCGGCAACAAATCCTTCTCGCGTTTGAAGGCCACGGAAACGTTGCTGATATCTGAAAAAACGATCCAGTTTCTCGAATGGAAAGACCCTTTCTTTTCAACACCACGTCACCCATCGACCAAACTTCGGAATTTCAACGACTATTCCGAGAAGTTCACTTACAGTAAAAATAAAGTACTGTTTAGTCCCGAATGGCTGGTGTAAAAGGGGCTTGAACCTTGTCCCTGTGTCCGAATGTCGAATCACTTTTTACCATAGACTTTAATTGGAATATTTTTAGTTGGTTGCCCTGTTCATCAAAAATTAGGATTGAAGTCCCAAAAAATTGAATGAAATTTTTTCTCAAGATAAAGAAAACAAGTGTGCAGAAGAAAACCACACAGAATCTATATTTTGGCATCAAGAGGAGCTCAACAAGCAAAGAAGAAGAACTGGTCCAGCAATACTGCGCGCAGATGACACGAAGAAAAAACTTATTTGTAAAAAGAAGCGCATAATTTGCCAGCATTTGTTGATGAATTAGACTACTCGAGTAACAAGGATCTATTCTTATCATTGCGAATATAAATAGCTCAATTTGTTTAACAGATGTCGAAATTTAGAATAATACACATTTTCAATTTTATAAAAATGTTGGAAAAGTGTCCGTATCACGATACATTGTCCGTACGTCGGAGCATTAATTTATAGTTTCAAATGTCCCTAATTCGAATCACCCATACGTTCGGGCATCCGTACGTCGATGTCCCACTGTATTCGAGTGTACAAGAATTTAATCCGCAGATTTAAAAGTTGGTATTTTCCGTGTGTGCAAAATATGGCGTGAGATGCATGGAAAGTTTTTAGAAAATGGTTTGTTACGTCGAATAAATTTCCACGACGACCCGATCAACACTCGTTTGCATATGGAGTTGAAAAAACCAGATGCAGATGAAACTTAGGGATATCTTAGACTTAGGACAGAATGGGTACACAATGAATAAACAATGATGGCTGCCAGCGACATCTAACCACAATAAAACGATTTCCCATAGTGATGATTGCTGAACGAAGCAATGCACACGGATGGCAGTACAGCACATAAATTACAAGTTTCTCACGGCAAAGCGATTTTTGGAACACACGAATGACACTGCAGCCCACAGAAAACCATTTCTATACTTCGAACTACAGTAATCCTACAACGATCATTCACAGTAAATCTTTGATTGATTCAAGTACGGTAATGTATCGTATGTAAGGGTTTCAATGAAGAATAAATGTCGGAGTATGCAATTTCAGCTCACCATCTTCATCCACAGGGGGTGGGCGAGGAAATGCGTCTGCACGCAAAATAAAATAAGCCAAAGATTTCTTTCGCATCCAAAGCAAGAATGGACCCTCCACAAAAATCGGACCGGAGTCGGGAACTCGATTCATCAACTCCTGCTGAGTAGGACTTTGCACCCCAATAATCCAGGTATCGTCGATGGATTCCTCAACGTCTTTAGCCTTCGGAAAAAAAAAAAAAAATTTGAGAATCGCGCAGCTAAATATAAATGGACCAGAAGCTGTTGATAAGTTGAAGTTTTCGGGTTTTCATAAGGGGGGTGTGATCAAAACGACGAACGAAAATTCCGATCTTTCATGCGTAAATTATAAAATTGACTGCTAATGCATCAATTTTTCCCGATATTAGATGTAATTTTTAAAAATGCAGGTAGAATTTCACCTCATCGCCCGGTCCATCGTTCTGAAATGTCAGACATAATTACCCAGAATTTCTATTCCAATCTAACCCAACAAAAAATACACAACCTAAATTAGGGAGAAACATAAATAAAGACGAAAAAAACCCACCGAACACAGGACTTCATATGTCCAAGTGAGAAGATCCGAAATGCATAGCGACTGTCGAGACTGAATTAGTAATAACTCAATTCTACATGTTTGCTAGAAGTCTCGAAATTACGAGGGGAAAAAAAGAGGGTGCGCGTCATGAGTCATGAGTGGGTATAAAATAATGAACATTTTATTAGTTCAGGAATCTTCAGGTAAACATCATAGGTATTTAATAGGAACATTTTTATGCACATTTTAAAGGAAATAATTGAAAATTGATTCAATTTTTGTTCAACGCACGTAAAATTTGATTTCTGAAGCAGTTCATCTACAAAATTTCGCAATTTTTCTTCAAATAAAAATGGGGTGCGTGTCTCAGTAGCGGTTAGGTTTTAATCAAATTTTAGAATGGGGAAAATCAGTTGCTCGTCTCATTTGAGAGGGTACTTGAGAAATATGGTACTTCGCTTCAAAAAATGCTGTATTCTTAAAAATTAAACATTGAAATATAGTAAATTAATGTACAATTAATGCCTGGCTTTATAAACTCATGTGTTCAAGAAATTTTTGTTTTCCATCATAAACGTAATTTTCAAAAAATGATTCCGTCTCAATAGGAACAAGTAATAAATCTTCAGAAAATGTAGAATTCGTACGACTTGACTTGAATTTGGAATGAATTTGTACTGTACCTGGAAGCAATGCAATTCCGATTGGATGTCCACAGTCCCCAATCGTAACATGCCCAATCTCGCCAACTCATAAGCATCATCGGGAACAGGATCAGGCAACGGCCAAGGACTGAGATGCTTGAATTTCGGCATCCAGTACAGCATTCGCATGTACTTTCTTCGAGGAACCGCGTTCCTCCCGAAAATGTTCTTCAACATTTCGCCCATCTCGTCGTCCGGGATCACGCCTAAATCAATATAAGAGTATCGATGCAATTAAACAAAAATTCATCAGCAAATCAGTGGATTATCATCGAAAAAAATAGTATCAAGCCAGCTAACCGTTTTCCTCCATCTGTTCCAGCAAATCCACAGCACAGAATTGCTGCTTAGGATAGTGCAGAAATTCAGCCTGGAAGAGGTTTTCGGGAATGAATTTTCCTTTCGGAAATACGTCCAAAATCTTCTTGTAGGCTTCAAGATCTCTGGAATAAAATTTGTATTCCTTGAGTCATCGGAACACACAACCGTAGCGGAATTAGAAAAACTCTGCAGAATAGGAAATACACAACTGCGCCTCATTTAGTGAGAAAAATCTCGCAGTTTGACAAATACAGTACAACTGTTGCAGAAATAAATTCATTCATGCATTATGAATAAGACTTTTCAAGTCACTGTTTACACCAAAAGCTTGTACATCAGCGAGATAAGAATCTGGCATGAAAGTTTTCCAGATTCTTAACACCAAAGAAAAGTTAGTTTCTTAAAAGTGGAAATATCACAAGATTTGTCAGTCGGATCAATTTTTGTATGGTTAGCAAAAAGTTAGAGAACATCTATAGTTTTAATTTAAGACATTGCGGAATTTTTCAAGTAAAAAATTCGTGGAGTTATTTGCTTCGGAAGTTTGTGCGTCGGGAATTTCGCCAAACGCGAAGCATGTTTTCTTGGCTGATTTGTTTTATTTTGGAAGCAAGTTTTTATTGCACAATGCGAAATTGTATTTTGTGATCGCGTGTGTGTGATTGTTGTCTTCATGAAACCTGTATTTGATTGTTCCAGAAGAAAGAGAATTTTATTTCCTATTAATTTTGATATTATTTTATCTTTTTTGATTAACCACCAACCATCTTTAAACCGACAACCCGTTAAACCACCACAAACCTCAAATAAATGTTGGCGGCTTATCGAGGTTTGATAAGATTCATTATTTAAAAAGAGGTACACATTCGAGTTATCCCATGAACTAAATATAAGATTTAGTGCATGCAAATATAAGACACAATTAATAATGAGATTTCGAGTTCGTCTTGAACGCACGAATCGAGGTACTGTGCAGTACTGTTTTCATACAAATTAAACTTTCGAAGGATGAAATCTCGTTTGCTGAGCTCTACTGTCGGCTCACCTATTGAGTCCATAGGGTTCCATCTCCTTTAGGGCGGCATAAATAAATTCCACATGTCCCCGTCGATGCGTAACATCCTGACGCGTGAAGTATTCAATGGCCTCCATAAAAGTTTCCTTTGCCTTATCTTCATTCGCGAACATCTTCTTGATCGACAGGCGGGTTTCTGGCTGTTGCTCCTGTTTGATTCTTTCCCGAAATGCCTTCGACGTGTGAAATGATTTGCTCACTGGATATACCGGACTCAGCCGACTCGAGCTCCACCACTTCATCGTGGTTCTCAATCGCGACGTCAAAGCGACACCGCATCTCGAGCACGAAATCATTTCAAGCACACTTCGAACTGGCACGTGACATTCATCCCTCCTTCATTTCTGTCAAAACATTTCCTTGAAAATGCAGAGCGACGAGAATAATGAATGCATGATTTTACCATCGAATTTCTTTCGGGAAATTCCTCAGATGAACTCAACCGCTAGTCGAATCATTTACGAATTTCAGATTCTTTAAAGCCTTCAATTATACTGAGCTTCATCGAATTTAAGAGGAATTGCGTCAATGTTCTTGGAATGAACGAATTCATGACATTTCGATGAAAATCATGGCGATTTTCAAGCGGTTGAGTTACCCAGATCAGATACAAATAAAAACCAAGTAAGATTGAGGCAAAGCACTTTAATTGAAAGAAGAAAAAAACTGACACAGGAACACGAAGATACGAAATCAACGAGTT